GTATATTCTTCAAGAATCAATGGGTTATATAATTAATTTAGAAGTCAAAAGAATGATGTAGCAACTAAGGACTCTAGCTTTTAAAACCTTGTATTAATCTAATATGCACCAATGCAATTGTCTCTATTCTATGCCATATTTATTGAAATTGTGGTTCAGGTTGATATTGAACTTTATGTGGGTAAAACTATGATAATTGGCCAATACAACAGCGAAAACAGTTTTATAGCAACTATAGTCATTCAGCTAACCATAACCTAAGCTAACCATAACTCCAAAAGTTGTATTTTAATTTTGTTTGTTTGAATTGTGAACTGTCTGGTCACGGGGTTATAGCCTACCACTGTAACCTACACCTGCTAGCAAAACTCGATGAAATTGCTCAATTGCTCTGAAACAAAAGTGATTCTTGGGATAAATAAATATAGCCTAAACCATAGGCTACATAAAACCTCCTTGAAATGTCAAAATGTTTAGGCCTATACGCACATAAACATAGTCCTTTCGAATTACGTGTAAGTGATTGGTGATAACATATTCAATAACATATTGTTGCATAAATACACTGACATGTTTCCTGTGTGTAAAACAGTAGCCTAGGCTAGCAGTTCTCCATTTCTCTGACATATGACGATTTGTCTATTGGGGCTTGTCTATAAATTCAGAAAATAACATATATTTACACAATTGATAGGATACTGGTGTTATTATGAATTCTGTAGCAAAATATCAGTTGTTTCAAATACACCATATTTTTTATTTTATTTTCAAAACATGCATGGGGCCGGATTGGATCAAATGACCCAGCTCGTACAGTGAACATAAATATAAACGCAACATGTAAAGTGTTGGTCCCATGTTTCATGAGCTGAAATAGAAGATCCCAGAAATTTTCCATACACACAAAAAGCTTATTTCTCTCAAATTGGGCACACATTTGTTTACATCCCTGTTAGTGAGCATTTCTCCTTTGCCAAGATAATCCATCCACCTGACAGGTGTGGCAGATCAAGAAGCTGATTAAACAGCATGCTCATTACATGTGCACCTTGTGCTGGGGACAATAAAAGGCCACTAAAATCTGCAGTTTTGTCACACAACACAATGCCATAGATGTCTCAAGTTGAGGGAGCATGCAATTGGCATGCTGACTGCAGGAATGTCAACCAGAGCTGTTTCCAGATAATTTAATGTTAATTTCTCTACTATAATGTTGTTTTAGAGAATTTGGCAGTACGTCCAACCGGCCTCACAACCGCAGACGACATGTAACCACTCCAGCCCAGGTCCTCCACATCTGGCTTCTTCACCTGCGGGATCGTCTGAGACCAGCCACCCGGACAGCTGATGAAACTGTGGGTATGCACAACCGAATAACTTTTGCACAAACTGTCAGAAACCGTCTCAGGGAAGCTCATCTACATGCTCGTCGTCCTCACTAGGGTCTTGACCTGACTGCAGTTCGTGTCGTAACTGACTTCAGTGGGCAAATGCTCACCTTCGATGGCCACTGGCATGCTGGAGAAGTGTGCTCTTCACGGATGAGTCCCGGTTTTAACTTTACCGGGCATATGGCAGGCCGCGTGTATGGCGTTGTGTGGGAGAGCGGTTTGCTGATTTCAACGTTGCCCCATGGTGTCGGTGGGGTTATGGTATGGGCAGGCATAAGCTACGGACAATGAACACAATTGCATTTTATGGATGGCAATTTGAATGCACAGAGATACCGTGACAAGATCATCAAACAGGCAAAGAGTCAATACAGGACTATGATTGAATCGTACCACACCGGCTCTGACGCTCGTCAGATGTGGCAGGGCTTGAAAACTATTACAGACTACAAATGGGAAACACAGCCACCAGCTGCCTAGTGACACAAGACTTACAGACGAGCTAAACCACTTCTATGCTCGCTTCGAGGCAAGCAACACTGAAGCATGCATGAGAGCACCAGCTGTTCCGGATGACTATGTGATCACGCTCTCCGTAGCCGATGTGAGTAAGACTTTTGAGCAGGTCAACATTCACAAGGCCGCAGGGCCAGACAGATTACCAGGACGTGTACTCTGAGCATGTGCTGACCAACTGGCAAGTGTCTTCACTGACATTTTCAACATGTCCCTGACTGAGTCTGTAATACCAACATGTTTCAAGCAGACCACCATAGTCTCCGTGCCCAAGGACTCTAAGATAACCTGCCTAAATGACTACCGACCTGTAGCACTGACGTCTGTAGCCATGAAGTGCTTTGAAAGGCTGGTCATGGCTCACATCAACACCATTATCCCAGAAACCCTAGACCCACTCCAATTTGCATACCGCCCCAACAGATCCACAGATGATGCAATCTCTATTGCACTCCACACTGCCCTTTCCCACCTGGACAAGAGGAACACCTACGTGAGAATGCTATTCATTGACTACAGCTCAGCATTCAACACCATAGTGCCCTCAAAGCTCATCACTAAGCTAAGGATCCTGGGACTAAACACCTCCCTCTGCAACTGGATCCTGGACTTCCTGACGGGCCGCCCCCAGGTGGTAAGGGTAGGTAACAACACATCTGCCACACTGATCCTCAACACGGGGGCCCCTCAGGGGTGCGTGCTCAGTCCCCTCCTGTACTCCCTGTTCACCCATGACTGCATGGCCAGGCACGACTCCAACACCATCATTAAGTTTGCCGACGACACAACAGTGGTAGGCCTGATCACCGACAACGATGAGACAGCCTATAGGGAGGAGGTCAAAGACCTGGCCGTGTGGTGCCAGGATAACAACCTCTCCCTCAACGTGACCAAGACAAAGGAGATGATTGTGGACTACAGGAAAAAAAAGAGGACTGAGCACGCCCCCATTCTCATCGACGGGGCTGTAGTGGAACAGGTTGAGAGCTTCAAGTTCCTTGGTGTCCACATCACCAACGAACTATCATGGTCCAAACACACCAAGACAGTCGTGAAGAGGGCACGACAAAGCCTATTCCCCCTCAGGAGACTGAAAAGATTTGGCATGGGTCCTCAGATCCTCAAAAAATTATACAGCTGCACCATCGAGAGCATCCTGACTGGTTGCATCACCGCCTGGTATGGCAACTGCTTGGCCTCCGACCGCAAGGCACTACAGAGGGTAGTGCGTATGGCCCAGTACATCACTGGGGCCAAGCTTCCTGCCATCCAGGACCTCTATACCAGGCGGTGTCAGAGGAAGGCCCTCAAAATTGTCAGACTCCAGCCACCCTAGTCATAGACTGTTCTCTCTGCTACCGCACGGCAAGCGGTACCGGAGTGCCAAGTCTAGGTCCAAAAGACTTCTCAACAGCTTCTACCCCCAAGCCATAAGACTCCTGAATAGCTAATCATGGCTACCCGAACTATTTGCACTGCCCCCCACCCCATCTTTTTACGCTGCTGCTACTCTGTTAATTATTTATGCATAGTCACTTTAACTCTACCCACATGTACATATTACCTCAACTACCTCAACTAGCCGGTGCCCCCGCACATTGACTCTGCACCGGTACCCCCCTGTATATATAGCCTCCCTACCGTTATTTTATTTTACTTCTTTTTTTCTCAACACTTTTTGTTGTTGTTTTATTCTACTTTTTTATAAAAAATAAATGCACTGTTGGTTAAGGGCTGTAAGTAAGCATTTCACTGTAATGTCTGCACCTGTTTATTCGGCGCATGTGGCCAATAAAATATGATTTGATTTGATTTGAAAAAAGATCCTGAGGCCCATCGTCGTGCCATTCATCTGCCGCCCTCAGCTCATGTTGTTTCAGCATGATAATGCACGGCCCCATGTCGCAAGGTTCTGTACACAATTCCTGGAAGCTGAAAATGTCCCAGTTCTTCAATGGTCTGCATACTCACCAGACATGTCATTCATTGAGCATGTTTAGGATGCTCTGGATCGATGTGTACGACAGCGTGTTCCAGTTCCCGCCAATATCCAGCAACTTCGCACAGACTTTGAAGAGGAGTGGAACAACATTCCACAGGCCACAATCAACAGCCTGATCAACTCTATGCAAAGGAGATGTGTCGCACAACATGAGGCAAATGGTGGTCACACCAGATACTGACTGGTTTTCTGAATCATGCCGGTACCTTTTTTTTAAGGTATCTGTGACCAACAGATGCATATCTGTATTCCCAGTCTTGAAATCCATAGATTAGGGCCTAATTAATGTATTTAAATTGACTGATTTCCTTATGAACTGTAACTCAGTAAATTCTTTGAAATTGTTGCATGTTGCTTTTATATTTTGGTTCAGTGTAATAATTTTGTAAACTGCGCAAATGTAGTTTTTATTTGGAGGCATTTTCATGGGCATGGGCTCTAAAGACCTGTCTGGGAACACGCTAGAAGTTACGGTGTAAATACTTCAGTGCGGGTTTGGTTGAATTACCCAATACTGAAATTCCAAACATTGCCGATCTACAGCATCATTGCAGGTATAGTGGTGGTAATTAGTGTCAAGCTTATAGCAATGACGCGAAACAGAGTCATGGAGGACATGGGAATAAAGCTACACTTTTTGATAGTCAATAAATACGACAGCTTGACGGGTTTAATGTTACTACTACAGACGCTTTCTAGAGGGCATGCAGGCTACCAGTTTGCCAATGAGGAAATAGCTTGTCAATTAATTCACTGTGCGAAAATCACGTGCCAAGAGGTTATCTTGGATGTCATTGGTTTACTGTATGGGCGCCGCTGTTGTCGTATTTGGGTGGAGTGATTGACTTGATTCGACCAAATACATTTAGGCTACGCAATCAAAAGTGGTGGGAGTTTGACCCCCTCTCACTGTTTGTGCCCTCTGAAAACCTTGAGATTTCAAGGAATTGTGTGGGTTAGCCTACATTTAACAGAATGGAAGCATACATACGATTTTCGCGCAGTATGGCCATTTTGGAGACCATTTGGCTGTTATAAAGATGTAAAAGGTTTCCGTATTGCTTTATTCGTTTTCCATCTTCTGCGCTTCAATGACCAAGCTAGTTGACCGTGGTGCGCAATTCTCCGCGCTTGGCGTTGGAATACCAAGACAACATGAACCCGGGGGCAACGACCTTCGGTTAGGGATCAGCCCGTATGGAGAGACCTCTCACTTCGCAGACTTCAATCTCATTGCCGCGTGTCAAGACATTGCCCCCGCAAAGAAGTCCCAGTTGATTGCCAAAGTCTCTGGATACGCAGCTGCGCTAGGAAGCCGCTACGGAGGGCACTTCGGTTCACATGGATACACAGCTATCGACTCCAGGAATTTTACGTTCACCTATCGCACTCCAGACATTATCGATTCCGCAGCAAGAGATACTCCGCACGGATTTTTCAGCCGCACCTCAACAGGAAGTGTGCGAATTCCCCCAAGTATCTCTGAAAACCCAGCGCACACTCTCTTTTCATCTATAGGCGAACAGAGCGCATCCCCAAATGGATACATGGCGAATAGCAGGGCGCATTTGGGTACACAGAGAGACATATACGTGGGAGCAGATCCGCATCAACCAGTCTCCATCCCGCATTTCAGTGATACCCAGCTCCACTTTGATCACAATGTGGATATGGGCATGAGAGTGGCAACACAGAATGGTCACGGTGCTTTCTTTCGATACATGCGACAGCCCTCTAAGCAGGACGTCACTTGTAAATGGATAGATGAGAATCAGACGAATCAACCCCAAAAAACGTGCGGCAACATGTTTTGCTCCATGTTCGAGCTGGTTACGCACGTCTCCATGGATCACGTCGGCGGTCCAGAACAGGGTCTGCATACTTGCTTTTGGGAGGATTGTCCGAGATTAGGCAAATCTTTTAAAGCAAAGTATAAATTAGTCAACCACATTCGTGTACACACTGGAGAAAAGCCATTCAATTGTCCGTTTCATGGCTGTGGAAAAATGTTTGCCAGGTCGGAAAACTTGAAAATACATAAAAGGATTCATACAGGTAATGAGCCTGCCATACATGCTATCAAACCAACCGGCCTAACACACAATATTTCATGTTTTATTTAAACATGGTTGAAGTTACAATGCTCTCTGCTTAAGACTGCTATGGGTCCAACTTTGGCCAATTACACGTCAATAGGCCTATCCAAATGCAATTTTGACGCACAACACATTACAATTTGTGAACTTCATTTCTATGTTAAAATTAGGCTACACATTTTCTTTGGCAGGTGAGAAGCCCTTCAAATGCGAATTCGAAGGCTGCGACAGGCGGTTCGCAAATAGCAGCGACCGAAAAAAACACATGCACGTTCATACCTCAGACAAGCCATACATCTGCAAGGTATGCAACAAGGCCTACACTCATCCCAGCTCTCTGAGGAAACACTCGAAGGTAAGCCATATTTTCTGGAGAATGAATGCAAAGGTACCGGTAACTGCCTAAATACAGGAAACACCAACCTAGTGTAAATAGGGCGTTAGGCCACCGCGAGCCAGAACAGCTTACATTACCCTAAGCATGATGAGATGAAAATTGCTTAATTAACTCAGGAACCACACCTGTGTGGAAGCAACTGCTTTCAATATACTTTTTATCCCTCATTTACTCAAGTGTTTCCTTTATTTTGGCAGTTACCTATAGGCATATGACCTAGAAATCACCTTTCTGCGTTGTTATTTATATAATTAAAAAAAACACACAACAGATTACAAAAACAACTGAAGGACTACATAGGCGGTTTAATTTTTGGGGGGGATCAATCAAAAAATACAGTTTTAAATTATCAAATGTACAATAAATGTTCTCACTTAGCAGGTTCACAAATCTCAAACCTCGGGGAACTCTCCAACGGGAACTTCTGGATATGAGTCGTCCACGCCACCAGCTCCGTGTAGACCTACATCCTCAACCACCGAAGACTCGACAAAAACATCCATGCTGCTGGTCAAGTCAATATTTAAAGAGGATCTCTCAACCAAATTGGTTGAATGGTACGTTTGAAATGGTTAACTGTCCAAGTGGGAACACTACAACTTCTATAGAATTAGGAACACTGGCCTATAGGCCTACGTTTGCCAAGTTTTCAACAAAGGTACAGAAAACACAGGGTATAGGCCTATGCATTGCCTTAGTGTTACGCTTTAAAGGCCCCATCATAAAATGATGATCAATTGCAATACTTTTGGAGTGATCTTTATTCTGTATCTTCCCAAATGTTGGGAAAATTCTTATCCTTGGAATAGCCTACATAATTACTATTTAACAGATGAAAATGTGACCCACACAAAGCCTTTAAATTAATAGATAGGCCTCCAAATAAGCCTATAGGCTACTGATAAATAAACAAATAAATTAAACGTGATGAAAGACAAAAATATACGAAATGAATAAGAAAAAGCAAAATAAACCTATAGAAACTAAGTGTATAAAAAGAAAGAAGGAAAGCAGATGACAGAGGAAATGTATTAATACATAGAGTACAAGGACAGTATAGGCCTATTTGCATGTTAATAGGCTAGTGCTAGCCGATTTGAGCTCTTTTGTCAGAATCTGTTTTAAGACAGAAAAATATAGGTCTACTGTGGTCGACATTCCATGTCGCCCTTTGAAAACAACAATATAAAAATGAATTGCTTAAAATATACCGTTTATAATATCATTTATTTAATTGTATTTTTGTTGGAATTTATTATGTTGGTGTATACATTTGCGAGAATAAATAAATCAAATAAAAATTATATTTCTATTATATTCATAAGAGGCATGCAACTTCAGTCAACTTTAATAAGAAACATGTTTATGGACAATTTATACGATGTTGAGTCTAATAACTTAGATAAGATCCATTTGTATAGATGTTTAGGCGTTTATTTTTTTGATGTTGGGAGTGGTAGCCTACCTTTTGCTAAATGAGTCACAAGATCCAGCATTTGAGGACAAAGCAAAAGTTGACAACCCATTACTGCCCCCAAGACACAAAATAATCTGAAAGTGTTCAGTTGAACATCAAGTGAAAAATTGTAAATACATCTGGTAGAGGCTTATGTTGTTCGATTTAAATACATCTGGTAGAGGCCAATGTTGTTCAGTTCGATTTAAATATATCTGGTAGAGGCCTATGTTGTTCGATTTAAATACATCTGGTAGAGGCCAATGTTGTTCAGTTCGATTTAAATACATGTGGAATAGGCCTATGTTGTTCAGTTCTATTTAAATATATCTGGTAGAGGCCTATGTTGTTCGATTTAAATACATCTGGTAGAGGCCAATGTTGTTCAGTTCGATTTAAATACATGTGGAATAGGCCTATGTTGTTCAGTTCTATTTAAATACATCTGGTAGAAGCCTATGTTCAGTTTGTCAAACTAGCATCAGATTCAGACTCAAGTAGGCATCTGTTGTTTTAAAAATTAAATGAAAGCTAAATGTAAACTACCATAGAACAAGGCAAAAGTTTAATAAATAACAGGAAGCATAAAATAAATTACATAAATCTGACCTTTAAAAAAAATAATAATTGTGTCCTTTAATTCATGGCTCGTTGATTTGATGGAATGGATTCTATTGGTGCAGTGTATCCCAAATGGCCAATAAATTGGTAAGACTTTAATTTTGTTTTTCCCTGTTTATTTATTATGATGCTGTACATTGTGTATATATGTACATTCATCTGCTCTCAATATAGCCTATGAGATGTCATCTGTTTAGCAAATTAACAAATTGTGTTGAAATACCTGGATATCCTTTATCAGATTAATAGAATGAATGCATTCTGACAATGAGCACGGGAGCAGAGAGAACCGATATTTAAATCCATGCACTGCACCATTCATGTATTATCTATTGCAGGTGTTTATTTTACTGTTGGCATTGAATTGGCACACAACTCTTACTCACCTCTTTAACCTACCCTTCAGTTCTATTCGTATAGATCTGCTGGCTTAGCTGGCAGTACGTTCTAAGAGGATCAACCCATATAAGCAGTTTCGAACGGCCCTTTGTCACGCAATTGTCTGCCATCGTTGAGGGGGTCTAGTCGTGTTGATTTTTAAGGATAGCCAGGCTGTGCCAATGTCAACAGACTTCCTGTCGGTTCTACGTTTTGGGGCACAACCTCACAAATATAAAATGTGTACTCAGTAATATCACACCAATTTCACAAGCGACTGAGTAATCATGGTTGCCACATATTTGATTTCGATTTTTTGATTTCCAAAATGCCCCCATATCTTCATCTTCCCTGTTCTCCTCATTCCTCTTCACCATAATAATCCTCATTGCCCTCCATGGCACTGTTCTGAGGAGACTCCTGTCATAGGAGAGGAGCGGTCAGCCATGGTGGTGGTGGTGGTGAAGGTTGTGGTGACAGGCTTGAGGCTGCAGTAATTGTGCCCCTGCTGAGGTGCTGGCCTGTCTTGGATCAGGGCTCAGCAGGAGGGGGGCCCCGGCCCTGCAACCATGGAAACAGGCAGGGGAGGAGGAGGAGGTGAGGGGCCTAACCAGTCACAGATTAAGACCTCCTACTGGCTCTTCTCTCATCCCTTGTACTCACTCAACTGAACAAAAATGAATCTTCCACCTCTTTGGAAAATTTGGGAGAGGAGAAACTGATGAACAAACATGAAATTCCATCTACAGTTGAGGCTGATGAGGAGAGTAGGGAAGTAAAGGTACGTAGCATTCACAAAACCGTTTATAGTCGACTATTAGTTGATTCTCTGAAGAGAGATGAGAAAGAGAAACTGTTTGTACAACATTATAGGTCCTCATCATTCATCAAAAATGTCGCTCCGCTTTTCTGATTCCAAAGTATTTATTTTCTCTGTGTGTGTGTGTGTGTGTGTGTGTGTGTGCGCGTGCGTTTGTGTCTACTCCCCTTCATTACTTTTCATCTTATTTTCAGGAGTCTCTCCTCTCAGTGCCAGGCCAAGCCTCCAGGCTAGTAGGGTACACATCTACCCCTGACCACCCACCTGCTGGGCTCAGTGCACTGGCCCAATCTATTACTCTCTCCCCCCTACATCCCAGTCCCCTCCCTCCATCCCGGCCCCCTCCCTCCATCCCAGTCCCCTCCCTCCATCCCAGTCCCCTCCCTCCATCCCAGTCCCCTCCCTCCATCCCAGTCCCCTCCCTCTACAGACATTTGCTTTGGTCCCTATTTTTATCCACTTTCCTATCTTCACATCTGGGTCATTTTGGACAGATATATTAGCTATTGCTATATTATAAGCCCCCTCGTATAGTAGATGCATGCAGAAAGAAGAGGAAGAATCAACTTCACAGGACTTCAAAAGGGGGCGGATACATCATGAATCACATAGGTTTGAAGTGGGTCATGTATAGATGGGATTCCAGCTTTTGTCAAATGTATCTTTAAATGTATATATTTTTTTGGTGCATTTTAGCTAACCCTTTCCTAACCTGCCACGTTTATTCTCCTAACCTGCTGTGTAAGTTCTCCTAAACCTGCTACGAGAAGTCAATTCTGACAAAAGCTGAAACCCTTCTAGCCATGACCTTAGAAGTGGTTTACCTCTGCTAGTGGAATTCCATTGTGTGAGGTGTGGTTCATTGAAGCGATAAAAGCCCATTGGGGCTCATAGTGCCATCTAGTGGTGAAGAGGAGATGTAGCAGGCAGCCTTTCAGCAGCGTGATGGTACAAATATTTACATTTATATTTTTAGTCATTTAGCAGATGCTCTTATCCAGAGCGACTTACAGTTAGTGAGTGCATGCATTTTCTCATACAAATAATACTGAATCTTCCTTTACATTATGTTTGTAAAACATGTTTATTAAACAGGTCACTACATCAATCATAACCTAATGTCAAAGTGTAACAATGTTCATAGATAAAGAAAAGGTTAGGAGCCTATCAGAGCCTCTTAATAATGTGACAACCATCAACATGAATATCGGGAGCATTGTGAATGTTACTGTGTTTGAACATGCGTACACAAAAAGGCATCCAATTTATAGTTACATATGAAAGAGAGAACCCATGATGAATAAGGGGTTTTTGTCTCATAATCTACACCGGAAAACTGCTATCAAGTTCTGCAGACACATCAATTCACCGACCGCTTGATACAAAGATTATACAGTGGGGAAAAAAAGTATTTAGTCAGCCACCAATTGTGCAAGTTCTCCCACTTAAAAAGATGAGAGAGGCCTGTAATTTTCATCATAGGTACACGTCAACTATAACAGACAAATTGAGATTTTTTTTCTCCAGAAAATCACATTGTAGGATTTTTAATGAATTTATTTGCAAATTATGGTGGAAAATAAGTATTTGGTCACCTACAAACAAGCAAGATTTCTGGCTCTCACAGACCTGTAACTTCTTCTTTAAGAGGCTCCTCTGTCCTCCACTCGTTACCTGTATTAATGGCACCTGTTTGAACTTGTTATCAGTATAAAAGACACCTGTCCACAACCTCAAACAGTCACACTCCAAACTCCACTATGGCCAAGACCAAAGAGCTGTCAAAGGACACCAGAAACAAAATTGTAGACCTGCACCAGGCTGGGAAGACTGAATCTGCAATAGGTAAGCAGCTTGGTTTGAAGAAATCAACTGTGGGAGCAATTATTAGGAAATGGAAGACATACAAGACCACTGATAATCTCCCTCGATCTGGGGCTCCACGCAAGATCTCACCCCGTGGGGTCAAAATGATCATAAGAACGGTGAGCAAAAATCCCAGAACCACACGGGGGGACCTAGTGAATGACCTGCAGAGAGCTGGGCCCAAAGTAACAAAGCCTACCATCAGTAACACACTACGCCGCCAGGGACTCAAATCCTGCAGTGCCAGACGTGTCCCCCTGCTTAAGCCAGTACATGTCCAGGCCCGTCTGAAGTTTGCTAGAGTGCATTTGGATGATCCAGAAGAGGATTGGGAGAATGTCATATGGTCAGATGAAACCAAAATATAACTTTTTGGTAAAAACTCAACTCGTCATGTTTGGAGGACAAAGAATGCTGAGTTGCATCCAAAGAACACCATACCTACTGTGAAGCATGGGGGTGGAAACATCATGCTTTGGGGCTGCAAAGGGACCAGGACGACTGATCCGTGTAAAGGAAAGAATGAATGGGGCCATGTATCGTGAGATTTTGAGTGAAAACCTCCTTCCATCAGCAAGGGCATTGAAGATGAAATGTGGCTGGGTCTTTCAGCATGACAATGATCCCAAACACACCGCCCGGGCAACGAAGGAGTGGCTTCGTAAGAAGCATTTCAAGGTCCTGGAGTGGCCTAGCCAGTTTCCAGATCTCAACCCCATAGAAAGTCTTTGGAGGGAGTTGAAAGTCCGTGTTGCCCAGCGACAGCCCCAAAACATCACTGCTCTAGAGGAGATCTGCATGGAGGAATGGGCCAAAATACCAGCAACAGTGTGTGAAAACCTTGTGAAGACTTACAGAAAACGTTTGACCTGCAACGTTTGACATTGCCAACAAAGGGTATATAACAAAGTATTGAGAAACTTTTGTTATTGACCAAATACTTATTTTCCACCATAATTTGCAAATAAATTCATTAAAAATCCTACAATGTGATTTTCTGGAATTTCTTTTCTCATTTTGTCTGTCATAGTTGACATGTACCTATGATGAAAATTACAGGCCTCTCTAATCTTTTTAAGTGGGAGAACTTGCACAATTGGTGGCTGACTAAATACTTTTTCCCCCCACTGTATATAAGATATCTTACATCTGGTGGTACATGGGGCTGGGCTTACTAAGATAGATGAATGTTTTTATCTATACAGACATCAATATAGGCCATTGTTACAGCAGGCTGCCATCTTGTGGCCGATAAATGACCGAGTATTTACATATCCAGGTGACAAATAACACAATCTAATGAAAAGAGAGATAATTTGGTATCTCCAGTTTGCAGCAGCATAGATAACTTCCTCTATCATTTCATTTTGCAGTGTGAGCACCATGTGTTTTGGCTCTTATGAGCTGGGGAGTGGACTCTTTCTCAAGGGGTGTAGTGCACAACCAGGAGGACCAGGTCAGGTTTCTCTCTCTGCTGGCCACATGTCTGAGTCTTAGAGGAGGTCCCACTGCCGTCCAGAGGCTTGCGTGTACCAGGGAATGTGACAGGCTCCTTTCGGGCTGGGGAGTTGCCATTAGGGCCAAACACTCGGCTGCTGGGCAGGGTGTGGAGGGTGTGGCTGCCTGCTGGTTCTGACCCACAGCTCATGAAGGCCAGGAAGCACCTGTAGAACTGGCACACATGATATCATCAATGCGTACACTGTGTAATAAATGTTTCCATTTCCATATCAAATCACAATGGCCAGTGTCCCACTGATAAGCCGTTACCTGGTTGTTTAAAAGCCCATATATGATAGGGTTGAGAAAAGTGCTACTTTTGGCGAGGATGGAGGGGACGATGCTTGTGGTGGGGCTGACCAGGCCAACCTGTCCGAAAGTGGCCAGCAGAGCCACCACCCCGTAGGGCATCCAGCAGAGCAGGTAGCAGGACACCATGGAGACAACCATCACCAACACATGGGTCTCCCGCCGCTGTGCAGACGACTGGTTGATTTTGGCTACCTGAGGAGATAAGACATTTTATTCAAGTTACTTACACTGACGGATGTCAGTCCTCACTACCATCTGGAAAAGGTCATTAACATTCTCAGCGGTCAGGTTTAGGTTATAGTAACAGCAGTGTAAAGGCCGCCTCATGATTTCGGTATATCAGGGAATGAACACATAAAACATGCTTATTTAATGTTTATGCAGGGTAATCATATAACCATTACACAGACAGTCATAGGGTGTGAGATTTCCACCTAAAAACAGGCATAGAAGCTAGAGGCCATGGTTAATAATGGCTAACGGGTGGTGGCCAAACCCCCATGGAATAGGCTTGAGTCCTGATATCGAATAGTTAAATGATAGAAAACAACACTGATTCTGAGATGGATGTGCATCAGTCCCCATCGTAAAGTAAAACTAAATGATAATTGATTTACTCCTTGAGGTCTATACATATTCTGTTTGCCCACTTAAGAAATTATGATGTCATGACCTCTAATGTTTTTCTGCATGAGTATTCTTATGTATTTCCATGTAATCCATTAATAATTTGATATACTGCATGTAACTAATAGTTCTCCCTGCGTGGTAAACTATAGGTAATTATGATAATAGTGGGGTGGAGAAAACTTCTTGTTGACGGATGTAAAGCAATATTAGCCCCCATCAATTACAATTTAGAGTTCAATGTGTCAAATCGGAGGGCCTGTTGTCTGGACCTCTGGCAGTCTCTATGGGGGTGCCACAGGGTTCAATTCTCAGGCTAACTCTATTCTCTGTGTATATCAATGATTTCGCTCTTGCTGCTGGTGACGCTCGGATCCACCTCTATGCGGACGACACCATTTTGTATACATCTGGCCCTTCATTGGACACTGTCCAAACGAGCTTCAACGCCATACAACACTCCTTCCGTAGCCTCCAACTGCTCTTAAAACCTAGTAAAACTAAATGCATGCTCTTCAACCGAACGCTGCTTGCACCCGCCCACCCGACTAGAATCACTACTCTCGGCGGGTCTGACCTAGAGTATGTGGACAACTACAAATACCTAGGTGTCTGGTTAGACTGTAAACTCTCCTTCCAGACTCACATTAAACATCTCCAATCAAAAGTTAGATCTAGAATCGGCTTCCTATTTCGCAACAAAGCCTCCTTCACTCATGCTGCCAAACATGCCCTCGTAAAACTGACTATCCTACTGATCCTTGACTTCGGCGATGTCATTTACAAAATAGCCTCCAACACTCTACTCAGCAAATTGGATGTAATATATCACAGTGCCATCCATTTTGTCACCAAAGCCCCATATATTACCCACCATTGTAACCTGTACGCTCTTGTTGGCTGGTCCTCACTACATATTCGTCGCCAAACCCACTGGCTCCAGGCCATCTATAAATCACTTCTAGGCAAATCCCCTCCTTATTTTAGCTCATTAGTCACCATAGCAACACCCACCCGTAGTATGCGCTCCAGCAGGTATATCTCACTGGTCATCCCCAAAGCCAACACCTCCTTTGGCCGCCATTCCTTCCAGTTCTCTGCTGCCAATGACTGGAACGAACTGCAAAAATCTCTGAAGCTGGAGATTCTTATCTCCCTCACTAACTTTAAGCAGCAGTTGTCAGAGCAGCTTACCGATCAATGCACCTGTACACAGCAATTCTGAAATTAGCCCACCCAACTACCTCATCCCCATATTGTTATTTATTTTTGCTAATTTGCACCCCAGTATCTCTATTTGCACATCATCTTTTGCACATCTATCATTCCAGTGTTAATACGAAATTGTAACTATTTTGCACTATGGCCTATTTATTGCCTTACCTCCATAATTTACTACATTTGCACACACTGTATATATATTTTCTGTTGTATTTTTGACTTTTTGTTTTGTTTACCCCATATGTAAGTCTGTGTTGTTGTTTTTATCGCACTGCTTTGCTTTATCTTGGCCAGGTCGCAGTTGTAAATGAGAACTTGTTCTCAACTGGCTTACCTGGTTAAATAAAGGTTAAATTAAAAAATTAAAAAAATTTAGCAACTCAGATGTGGAATACCTAGTAACTAATTTTGTCGCATTTTTCAAAAAATAAGAAAACATGTCTGAAACAGAGAAATCTGACTAAACTCAATCTCAACTTGATTATATACATGAAAAGTAGTCTCTCATCTTAATAATTGAACCACAAAAAATAGACGCACACTGGAGTGGAACAAGCCTTGACAACTGTGAAAGGAAATCAAACACAACGGGGGTAAATCAACAACCTCATGTCATTTAAACTTGTCAGCCACCTACAGTGCAGTCATTATTGAGTTCTACAGATTTTCTGAGAAAGTAAAGTTGTATTGAAGACCGCCTAATGCATAAAACCACAGTAGGTCTACAATGTATAAGCATAGCAAAACTGGTGCTCAAAATCATACCCAAGCGGCATGCATTTTTGGCCCAACACAAAGGAAATGTGTTCCTAAATGGCCACAGGGAATATCTACCTGAATGAAAGGAGAGTGAATAAAGACTTATTCGTTTATGTTAGGATATAGGACAGGCAATGTGGGTACTCCTCCGAGCGTTTGGTTTCAGAAGGGCCTTGAGAAATTCTGGTTACCATCAGAATGTCCTCTACGGCAGTTAGTCTTCTACAAAACACTCCTGATGTTGTCATGTCCTTGGTCCCTCTGACGTGGGTATAAAAACAAGGGAGCCAGTGGAACCATAGGTTGTCGTCATTAGTGACCAATGATAGACACATTCAATCTGGATTTTAAAAAAGAATCCCTGGGGTGATTCATTCATGAGACCTATACGAACTGTAGCCACCAAGACCGAGGTTGCGTCAGCATCTGTCTCAGTCAAACTCAGCTCTCCCCCGTCTCCGCCCAACCTTCCGCCACAAGGCGAAGGCCACAACCACACAGTCAAATTTTAGTTAAGGTTGGAAAACCTGACCTCTCTGGGCATCTTTTTCCCTGGAGGAAAGACAGACGGTGTCATTGCCACAACCGCTGTTACTCATCATCTATATATATTTCACTAAAATGTGTGAGAGTCAAGCATTCTTTATGTTTTGATTTGTTTATGTCCCAAATGTCCCACTATTGCAGTAGTGGAAAGGTGGACTAGCCAGCCTGCCTCACCTTCAGAGTGAGGACTGCCAGCTGGCAGAACTGAGCATTAATGATGTTGGCCCACTAGAATTTCACAGCTGTCCCAACATGATAAATGGTTTCAGTGGACAATGTGTGGTTCAAGGATTTCTTGCTAATATGTTTAACTAAGGTCTGCTATACAAACATTGCGACATTTCCACTTTCTTTAATATTTCACCATAACATGTGGAATCTATTCATTCTGCTGTGATCACACAGTCCTAAAGGCTGCATAGTTTAGTTTATCCTTTTTAAAATTAACAAAACACATTACGAGGTGTGCCAAAATGCCATTCAGTGACACATCAGAGACATGATATGAAAGAGTGCGTAAGTGCTGCCTTTCAACGACAGTTTTTTTTAAACGTATTTGTGCTGCCTTGATCGTAACCAATTTTCTACATATGTCAGGCAGCAAGCTGAATCACTCTGAGCAGTGTTTTGGGAGCGGTCTAGGACAGGGCCATGGCAGATTGATGGCTCTCTGGAGAGGGAGATGAAATATGCTTTTTTGAGAGACTGATGCTGCCATCAGAGAGGGGTGAAGATGTTTACTCAGGGCAAAGCTATGAAAACTCTTGTGTGACAAACAGTCGAGTGACATAATCAACCTTGACATGATTATCCTTGTGGCCATTGTCATCTTAGCATGCAAGCATGCCCACCATCATCATCAAAATACACACCGTGATGAAAATAATCAGTACAGTGTTGACCAATGACACTGACTCACCCCATGGATGGCAAAGAGGATCTTTCCATAGCAGAAGATCATGAGCAGCAGGGGAAGTAGGAGGCAGAAGATGAAGAGGCAGGTGACATAGGAGATGTTCCTAGAAGAGCGCTGGTGCCACTGCACTGAGCACATGGTGCCTGGGCCCTCGGGACCGTAGCTGCCCCAGCCAAAGAAAGGTGGCACCGTCCACACCAAGGAGTAGAGCCAGGCACCTGCGATGGCAAGCCAGGCCTTCTTGTAGTCAGATGGGTCAGCCTTTGTGTAACACAATATCGTGGAGTAGCGCTCGTAGGAGAGAATTGCCAGGGATACTAGAGAAACAATGCCTGCACAGAGAAATGGGTGGAGGTAGAGTGGTAGATGTGGTGAGCATAATGCAAAATTCTTGCTGTGGACATCAAACATATAGGCTATACAATACATTGTCCAGAATGTCTAGATACAGTACATTAGCAGTTGACCATTACAATGCATGTGGCACACGCATTCATATGCTTGAACATAGAGGAAGTAAATGTTTTCACATTGCAATCCATAACTCATACCCTTGTACTCTAAAACCTGTAATATAAATGACACACTGTCTCCAGACACTTTAACCAAGGTGACAGTTTGTATAGTGTTGAGCTATGGACAAAATACAGTGTGAACTTAGGCCTACATAACAACAAAATACCAAAATTCATCAAGAAAGACTGTTTTGACTCTGAACATTTGACCCAAAATACAGTATGTCTCTTTACCAGTCAAACTGACTGTAGTGTGTCTCAAAGATCAAAACTGTTCTTTGCTTATTATACTGTTATGTTAATTCATCATCCATCATATTCAAGACTACATGTAGCGTCTCTCACACAAGGCAGAGAGCATGGCGTGAGGGGACCTGTTGAAACATGAGATGATGTACGTTTCTCCCTCGGATTCCAGTCTCTCTAAAACGAATAGGATAGGAAGCTTATAGGTCATCAAGTCAACTCACCAAAAAGCGAGTTGGCGAAACCGTACCACTTGCACCCGTGGGCTCCGATGAGCCATCTACCATAGAGGCTCGCGGCAAAACTAAAGGGAGTTCCGAAGATACACACCAGCATGTCGCTCACGCTGATGTTGAGCAGGATGAGGTTGATGGGTGTCCTCAGCACCTGAAACCGCGCAAAGACGAGAAGGACGAATAAATTGCTGAGGAATCCTAACAGGAAAATGACACCGAGAAACACGGCTACCACTGTGTGCCCTGTCCTACTGAGTTCGGACTGCTCTTTGGACACGAGAGTGTCGCGGACACTGTCATTAGCGCTGAGGTTCGTCCTGGAGCTGTCCTCCGTGCTGAAATTGAAGTTGCCGCTCTCAACAACCATGGTATCACTTGCTGAGTTGGTGGCGGTGGACGAGTAATTTCAAGGGGCCGGGGGAGAATTGTTCTGGATCTCTCACTCACACGTTGTCAGTGCAAACATGGGCAATGAATATCAGAGTAGCCTGCAGATTTCAGTTTCCCCTGCTCTCGCTTGCAGCTCTACAGATGTAGGCTCTTAATTTGATCACTCTTTTGTTGCTGAGAATTTTCCTGCACAGAAGGAAATGCAAACTTATAGTGTATTCAAGGTTTAAAAAGGCTTCTAAAGTTTGTAATATCCACTTTAAAATGTCAGACTTGATTTGCCCTAACGAAAAATGTAACCCCTACAAAAAAGATGACCAGGCTATCTATCAACGAAACACCCCCAGAGGGCTCAACACCAACTCTTTATTTATCTCACTGTCCCATTGGGAGTTGTCTTCGTTTTAACTGAATACCATGCTACACAAAGAAGAGGGCGTCACTAAAATACACTGAACCAAAATATAAATGCAACATGCAACAATTTCAAAGATTTGACTGAGTTACAGTTCATATAAGGATATCAGTCAATTGAAATAAATTCATTAGACCCTAATCTATGGATTTCACATGACTAGGAATACAGATATGCATCTGCTGGTCACAGATACCTTTAAAAAAAGGTAGGGGCGTGGATCAGAAAACCAGTCAGTATCTGGTGTGACCACCATTTGCCTCATGCAGGGCAACATATCTCCTTCATATAGAGTTGATCAGGCTGTTTATTGTGGCCTGTGGAATGTTGTCCCACTCCCCTTTAATGGTAGTGCGAAGTTGCTGGATATTGGTGGGAACTGGAACACGCTGTCGTACACGTCGATCCAGAGCAAACAAAACATGCTCAATGGGTGACATGTCTGGTGAGTAGGCTGATTTTCAGCTTCCAGGAATTGTGTACAGATCCTTGCGACATGGGACCATGCATTATCATGCTGAAACATGAGGTGATGGTGGCGGATGAATGGCACGACAATGGGCCTCTGGATCTCGTCATGGTATCTCTGTTCATTCAAATTGCCATCGATAAAATGCAATTGTGTTCATTGTCCGTAGCTTATGCCTGCCCATACCATAACCCCACCGCCACCATGGGGCACTCTGTTCACAACGTTGACACCAGCAAACCGCTCGCCCACACAATGCCATACACTCTGTCAGCCATCTGCCCGGTACAGTTGAAACCGGGATTCATCCGTGAAGAGCACACTTCTCCAGCGTGCCAGTGGCCATCGAAGGTGAGCATTTGCCCACTGAAATCGGTTACGATGCCGAACTGCAGTCAGGTCAAGACCCCAGTGAGGACGACGAGCATGTAGATGAGCTTCCCTGAGACGGTTTCTGACAGTTTGTGTAGAAATTATTCGGTTGTGCAAACCCACAGTTTCATCAGCTGTCCGGGTGTCTGGTCTCACACGATCCTGCAGGTGAAGAAGCTGGATGTGGAGGTCCTGGGCTGGCGTGGTTACACGTGGTCTGCGGTTGTGAGACCGGTTGGACTTGCTGCCAAACTCTCAAAAACGACATTGGAGGCAGCTTATGGTAGAGAAATGAACATTCAATTATCTGGTAACTGCTCTGGTGGACTTTCCTGCATTCAGCATGCCAATTGCACGCTCCCTCATAACTTGAGACATTTGTGGCATTGTGTTGTGTGACAAACCTGCACATTTTAGAATGGCCTTTTATTGTCCCCAGCACAAGGTGCACCTGTGTGTAATGATCATGCTGTTTAATCAGCTTCTTGATATGCCACACCTGTCAGGTGGATGGATTATCTTGGCAAAGGAGGAAAAAAAGCAGACTATTGCACTAATGCACAGAGAGTGTATTATTACCATGAGTCATGACGAAATACAAGATGTTCTGTTGAGTGGCTAATATCCTATTATTCACAACCTGCACACTTGTATATGTCATACTGTTCACAGTCAGATAATGTTACACCTATGTTCCTCTAAATATTGAAATAGCTGCATGCATGAAGATTTGTGGCCCCAAGGCTTTTATTTGAATGGAACTTTTCTTCCTGTGGTTGAAGAAAGAGGCATCATCTGTCTGAAGTGCCATGATACTGTCCCATCTCAGGGGGCATCTCACGTTCCCCATACAGAGACACACTGCTTATCTAGTGACCATGTGGAATCTGACGCCAGCGCCTCTACATCAAAACAGAAAGCAAGACAATACACTTGAAATAGTCTGACTATCTCTTCTGGCTGTCAAGTAGAACTGCATTTCAGTGTAAACAGTACTGTTGTATCTCTAGCTTTGAGTATGTTGCTCATCTAAAGAGTAGAAAAAAACACTTATTTCGAGAACCTGAGTGTGTGCAATGAGGATTCTCAAAAGCTTTTCAGATTGTTATCTGAGAGAAAGAACTTCTCTGAGCCATAACCCTCACAAGCCTGCCAGGGGTTAGGATGTTACCCTTTGAGAGAGATACACTATTGATCTCAGCAGTCTATAAGACCAGGTGTCACATCAGTGTAGCTTCTAGATCACCTCTCTGCTTTGCTCTTCGACAGTGATAATGAATTGTAAATCCTCAACATTGTCTCAAAAAGTAGTCACTTATCCCTGAATGATACAGCAGATCAGTTGATATAGGAGGTGGAGGCTGAGGCAAGAAAAATGAGGGGCAAATAGCAGAGACCTGTAGGCTACATTAAGATCTAAAGGCCCAGTGCAGTAAAAAATCTGATTTTCCTGTGTTTTATATATATTTCCACACTATGAGGCTGGAATAATACTGTAAAATATTGACAATGATGACAATGCCATTTTAGTGTAAGAGCTGTTTGAAAAGATTGCCTGACATTTTTGCCTGTTTTGGTGGGACAGAGTTTTGGCCTGCCTGGTGACATTATTAGTTAATAGACCAATAAGAAAGAGTTCCAAACCTCTCTTCCAATAAGAACTAGTTTGTTTGTTTTCCCCTCCCAACTTAGACTACTCCCAGACAGTCCCAGCAAAATTCTTGCTTGAGAAATTGCTTTTTGCTAAGGAGCTATTTTTAAGGAGCAATTAAGGTACTTAATTGTTTCCCAGAAATGATTTTATATTCAGATAAAAATGGCTTCATTGGACCTTTAAGAGCAGAGGCGTCATGCCCAAAGGGAGCCCGTCAGTTTTTTTAATTTAACTTTGTTGTTGTTGTTTCTCTGTAATACTACTAGCCACCTAGCAATTTTATGAAGTTGGTTTTAGCTAGCCCAGATAGGTTCCCAATCTCCTAACCTCATAACTAGCTACCAAGAAGCTAGCTGCTTTTAGCAACACTAAAAGGGTTGGATCTTATGCAGGGGGGAAATTGAGAAAAAACATCTAATAGAACGTAATTTAAACAGGCTTTCCAAACGTGGGTCTGTTGTAGACCCACTTCCTCTCCGCTTACCTCATGTCAAAATAAAAGTCCTGCCCGTGCGTCATACCTGCAAAAAAAAAGCAAGAACTTGTGGGACTTATATTTTGACATGAGGTAAGCAGAGAGGAACTGACCTCGTTGAGGAACTGCAAAAGAGTGACATTCTGGAGTCCTATTTTGATATAGCAACAATAGTCTAATTGTCAACTCAAAATGCACGTTAAAATATCTTGAATGATGCATTCCTGCTGATTTGCACTGTGAATGATTTTATAAGATGATTGCTAATTTTTTCTATTGTGTGATGCCTCGGCAAAACTTTGGTGGGATCAACTCATCGGCTGGTGCCATCAAAACCTTTTAGCAAGGGAAAGGTTAGTCTGACTTACTATGGAATTTTGTAGTATGCTGTAGAATACTACTGTATATTACACACTGTAGTATCCCTCGATCATGTGTAGGTAGTATTTACTATAGAATTATGTAGATAAGCTGTAGGATACTGTAGAATGCTACACTACACACTGTACTAATATGCCCAAGTTTTAATTTGCAAATACCCCACCCATTCCCCTCCCCCATATCACAATATGTGCCATCCATGAGTGAGAAACCAATATTTCAAGTATAGACCATATATTGTGTTCCCTACAGCCATTTAAAACATGTATACTTACCTGCAGTGACCTATTATAAAAACAAAACAAAAAAATGCATGCATACTTAAACAGGAATACCTATACTTACCCGACTACTTACCTGAGATCCAAACCACCGTGTGCCTGGTGTGTTGCTGCTCTGGAGAAGACCTGTGTGTAATCCTCTCTGCCCGCTCCTATTGGACAATGGAAACACAAACATCAACAATATCCACAACCACTCAACCAACTACTCACAATCATAAAGCACCAGGCCCTCCCAGCACCCTGAAGAGCAAGTTTCCATCCCCTATTTTTTTTTTCTCGAATAAAGATATTAAATCCCTCCCCGAACCAGGTCCGTATCCTATTCCCAACCCTACCCCCTAAAACTAAACCCTTACCCGAAATCAGGTTTGTATTCCCTACCCAATTAAAATCAAGTTACAGAAGACAAAAGGAGAACTCCAACACCCTTGTCCCTTGCCAAAACTCACCCTCGACTGGACAGACACACTGAGAAGAGGGGTAGAAAAGGGCAGGAAACCCTGAGATATCCCTACAAGCCCCAAGTCTCTTTACTTACTTACTACAGCTTACGGAAAATGTGCTCTTTTAGTATTTGTCCAGTAGTTTTCCTTAAGGAGAGAGGGCCAAAGAGAAGTGCCAGCCCAGACCATATGGTCTTGGACTCCCTTGTGTGCCTGCTAGCTCCTCAGGTTGGCCTTCCTCCCCTCTGCAGACCCAGATCCCGACCCACCACCTGCACCAATCCCGGTTCCTGTTTCCGGTTCCTGTTTCCCAGTTCCCTGCCCCAGACCCAACACCAATCCCCGGTTCCCAGTTCCAGTCCCAGCACCAACCCTGGACACAAGAGCAGATGCCACAACTGCCACCTCCATCCAGCCACTGCCAGCCTAGACCCCATCCACTCCCCCAACACAAGGACACAGACACACCGTCAACCACTCCACCAGACCAACCACCCCTGCAAAGACTCCAAACTCATACAAGATTCATTCCTCAAGAGACGATCTGAAAACAAACACAGAAATACGAACAGTGAAAGCAAAACTAATCTTATTGAATTTGTTGTTGTTGTTGCTTTGATAGTGATTCATTGCTTTTTCCTTCAGGGATGACATTAACCTTTGCTGTGTTGATGATTTGTTAGGCGGTTTAATGTGTTAGAATTGATTTGATGTTTATTTTTGACTATTGATTTGAAACTTAATATTGAACCTGACTATTGCTTTTGATTTTGATTGAACAGAGAAAAAACCTTGTAAAGAATTTTGGACAAAATAAGTAAAAAAGACCCCACTTCGATGTCAAAGATAATAAAACTAAACACTACAGTAAATACTATATTTAGTTTAACTACAGTATTTATACCATAGTAAACTGTCAATACTATATTATACTACAGTAATATCTGCAAAAATACAATGTACTGAGTGTACAAAACATTAGGAACACCTTCCTAATATTGAGTTGCACCCCCTTTTGCCCTCAGGGCAGCCTCAATTCAACTGGGCATGGTACAAAGTGTTGAAAGCGTTCCACAGGGACGCTGGCCCATGTTGACTCCAATGCTTCCCACGGTTGTGTCAAGTTGACTGGATGTCCTTTGGGTGGTGGACCTTTCTTGATACACACAGGAAACTGTTGAGCGTGAAAAACCCAGCAGCGTTGCAGTTCTTGACACACTCAAACCGGTGCGCCTGGCATCTACTACCATACTCCGTTCAAAGGAACTTAAATATTGTATCTTGCCCATTCACCCTCTGAATGGTACAAATACACATTCCATGTCTCAAAGCTTAAAAAGTATTATTTAACCTGTCTCCTCCCCTTCATCTACACTGATTGAAGTGGATTTAACAAGTGACATCAATAAGGGATCATAGCTTTCACCTGGTCAGTATGTCATGGAAAGAGCAGTATGTCATGTTTTGTCCACTCAGTGTATAGTGAATACTACAACAACAAAAACTATAATAAATACTACAGGAACGTCCGCAAAAACACTGTAATACTACAGTATTTATACTGTAGTAAACTATAGTATTTCTTCATGTGGGGCTGCCCAGCACCGTGCTCTATAACAAACAGAGCCATATTGTACATGTACTGTCTACCCCACGTTGCTATTTCAGATGATGAGGCTGGCCTGCGAGCAGGAAAGTAACAGACTGTTAGGATGCATTGGATAAAACAATACATGCCAGGCTAGTGACTGTCTCTGACATTCTAGAACACGAGAGGGTATAGGGGAAAATTGGACAGGACAAATCGTAAGAATGAAATCTTTGATCTTGTCATTGTTCATGTTTATCTAAAACCTTCATCTAGATGAAACAGATGGAGGAAACTAATATTAGTGCCAGGGCATCAATAATCTACAAGAAGGCATGTTGAGATGGCTGTCCTTCCATCTGTGGCTCCATACTGGCAGCCATGCCGGCCAAGCCTATACTATGTGATGGGGACAGGGGGTCCATCCAAGCCCAGTCTTGGAGCTTCGGGATGCAGGGTCATCTGCTGATACAAGGTCATCATCACTGCACGTCACAGGTTCATGGAAAGGACAATGGCTGTGGCTCAGAGATGGGGCTTCAAGTTCTTCTATTCTACACCTTTGGTCATCTAAGTGGTTGGTCGTTGGTGTGGCCTATTATTATGGGATGCAGTCCATTCAAGTAACCATTGCAAATCCAAAATTATTATTTGCTACAGTATTCCTTATCTTTAATGCAAATGTGACAGTGACAAACATGGTTAACGTCTACTAAGCTGAAAAGATGCTGCTATACCTCCTGAAATACAGTGCATTCGGAAAGTATTCAGACTTTTTCCACATTTTGTTATGTTACAGCCTTATCATAAAATGGATTACATAGTCCCCCCACCCCCCACCAATCTACACACAATACCCCATAATGACAAAGTAAAAACAGTTTTTTTGAATTTTTTGCTAAGTGATTGAAAATAGAAAACTGAAATATCATATTTACATAAGTATTCAGACTCAGTACTTTGTTGAAGCACCTTTGGCAGCGATTACAGCCTCAAGTGTTCTTGGGTATGACGCTACAAGCTTGGCACACCTGTTTGTGAGGAATTTCTCCCATTCTTCTCTGCAGATCCTCTCAAGCTCTGTTAGGTTGGATGGGGAGTGTCGCTGCACAGCTTTTTCCAGGTCTCTCCAGAGATGTTAGATCAGGTTCAAGTCCGGGCTCTTTCTGGGCCACTCAAGGACATTCGGAGACTTGTCCCGAATCCACTCCTGCGTTGTCTTGGCTGTGTGCTTTGGGTCGTTGTCCTGTTGGAAGGTGATCCTTTGCCCCAGTCTGATGTCCTGAGCGCTCTGGAGCAGGTTTTCATCAAGGATCTCTCTGTACTTTGCTCCGTTCAAATTTCCCTCGATCCTGACTAGTCTCCCAGTCCCTGCTGCTGAAAAATATCCCCACAGCATGATACTGCCACCACCATGCTTCACCGTAGGGATGGTGCTAGGTTTCCTCCAGACGTGACGCTTGGCATTCAGGCCAAATAGTTGAATCTTGGTTTCATCAGAACAGAGAATCTTGCTCAGTTTGGCCGGGCGGCCAGCACTAGGAAGAATCTTGGGGGTTCCAAACATCTTCCATTTAAGACATTTTTTGGTACCCTTCCCCAGATCTGTGCCTCGACACTATCCTGTCTCGGGGCTCGAAGTACAATTCCTTCGACCTCATGGCTTGGTTTTTGCTGACATGCACTGTCAACTGTGGAACCTTATATAGACAGGTGTGTGCCTTTCCAAATCAATCCAATCAAGTTGTAGAAACAGCTCAAGGATAATCAATGGAAACAGGATGCACCTGAGCTCAATTTCGAGTCTCATAGCAGAGGGTCTGAATACTTACGTAAATCTGTTTAAGTTTTTATACATTTGCAAAAAAATCTAAAAACCTGTTTTGGCTTTGTCATTATGGGTTATTGTGTGTAGATTGATTCACTGTAGTTCCCATCTGACTTAAAATAGTCATGAATTCTCCGCTTCCATTTTACGTGGACAGAGCACGACGAAATAACTGACAATTAGGCACCTCCAGGCGTCAGAATTGTCACCCTCCCGTGTGGGTCTGAGGGCAGTGTGTGGGAGGAAAAGGAAGTCACGTTATACACTTTGTTCCCCTCTCTTCTCTTCTTTATTAACCATTTGGGCACACTACATCTAATCAAAAGTATTGAGGCGTTCCTCTCCTCCACGCTAATTGGTTGCCATTCTTAGACTTGAGGGTGGGGATACAACCACAGATCTCACGTGCAGGCTCACCCAACATGCTTCCCATCTACACACAGAGGGGCATTGTGACGTGAACGTCTGGCTTGTCAGGCTATTCATCTAAGATTTTAAAAAACATTACTTGGAGGTGGACTATATGTTACAGTTAGAGGATGGGGGCAGCAGCATTTTGTGTGTGAAAGACAATGGCTGTTGGCATAACAGCGCATTAGGGCACATTATTAAGAGGCTGCACGTGAGCTCGTCTGGAAGCTGGATGTGTGGGTGACCTTGACGCAAGTGAATCTGCCTTCAGTACAGCCAGCCTGCTACTTGGAGAGTAGGCTGATATCTAGCTCTCCCTCCCACACTGCCAGAAACACTTTCCACTACTTCCCCAGTGCTCCCCTTTCTAACATTCCACAACTCTATTTTATTATGTACCGTAACTTTTTTTCATGAGACGTTCACACACACAAAACAAGTCTACTGCCTCATGGCAATAACGACACAGAAATCAATAATATGGGTGAAAGATTACATACAATACCATGCATGGTTGCCATTGGTAACGTTGAGTTTATTTTCCATCTCAAAACAAATCATGACAAGACAGGGTTGAGTTTCAGCTTTAAGGTTGAAATCGAGTCCAGTGCTATATTTAAGAGAGACAATGAGAAACATGGATGTAAACCCTTTCAGTTTAAGACCTCTCCAAAGCTTGGTCCCTAACTGCATATCCATTCCAGATGACTCAAATCAAGACCAAGATCATTTAGTTCATTACACAAATTCCTAGTATAAAAGACATTAAAGTGATGTTGCAAATGATTGATGTCAATCAATAAAACAGGTAATTGTGGCGGGAAAGAATTGAAAATATACAAATTACTTTTTTTTTTATTCATCGCTAAGTATGCAACAGAGTATTTCCATCCCAATAGCCCTATTCCTCAGTGTGTCACTCTCCACCAATCAAACACTGAGGTGTAGGGCAGTTTAGCAGATGTCCTTTTATATGCTGAACACAAGGAGATGTACAGTGATGTCTGTGTGTCTGTCTACGTGTCTTCTTCATCACTTCCTGCCAGGCTGCTGTCAGTGGAACTTACTTCTGCGTCCTCAGGGGTCTCTGGTTCCACCCCAGGGTCTACTGCTGCCTTTGCCCCTGCTTCCTGGCTCTGAGAGTTGGAGGGCTCTGTCACAGATCCCTCTGCCTTGCTGGATGACTCCTCTGTGGTTGTGGTTGGTTTGTCTGGTCCCTCTGTACTTCCTGGCGGTGCCCCCGGCGGAGCAGGTCCCTTGCTCCCACCCTCTAGGTAAGCTGCCCAGCCTTTCAGTCTCTCCTCTCGCTCCCTCGTGGTTTCCTCCACCTATAGACAGACAGGCAGACAGACAGACACACGTCAACACAGTTATATTCACTATGGAGGTGGTTGCTATGTTCCGGAAACAATTCACGAGGTATTAAGCCTCTCTGTTATCTTTTAACGTGATAGTGACCTAACAACTGTACTATTTGACTCCACTGATCCGGCTCCTGTCGATGCCTCTTCATAAGCCCCATCTGTGCTGACATGTGGGCCATAGCTGCTTCTAATGTGGCAACAGCATGGTTCTTACCTGGTAGTCAGTGGATCCATCCCACAGCTGTGCTGATAACTTCTTGCCCCCAAACCAGCGGCCGTCCAATGCTATCTGACACACGTCTGCATCCTCTGGCTCTTTGAAGGCCACCGAGGCCACTCCATCAGGATGTCTCTATGGAAGACATAGGACCATGTCACTAGTTAGGTTTCCCTCCAATTACAGAAAGATTTTAATGGGAAAAATCGAAAATGTGCATTAAGAAATATGCAAATTTCCCCACCAGAGGTGTTTCCATCCATTGGCCATATACCACACCCCCTCAGGCCTTATTGCTTAATTATACCAAAGTGACAGAAATTAAGTGAGCTGATTCCCATCAGCAGGCACTTACATCAAAAATGATGACCTTCTTCACCTGACCAAATTTCTCACATTCTGTCCGCAGGTCGTCCCGGTACTCATTTAACACCAGGGGGTCTTCCTGTGGGACAGAGATACAGGACATAGCTTTACTATAGTGCAGAAAAGGAGTGGGGGTGAAGTGTTGGGATGTTAAACTAGAACACAACCATTCCTGATCTCTGATGGAGAAAGACGTAAGCCTGACTCCCTAAAACACCACAGTGCTGTCGATAGAAAGGGGTCTAAATCAGTTGAAATGAGTCATTTGCTCTGGGGGGTATTTGCTGTCCTCACACCAGTCATCTATATCTATTCACACCAGCTCTTTGTGGTCATGTGTGTTGATGTGAGTGAGTGAGCGAGCGAGCGAGAGAGAGAGAGAGAGAGGGGTATTTGCTCACCTCAAAGTCACTAGGGTGGAACATGTTCTGGATAATGAGCACACGTTCATGCCTTTTGCGCGCCTCCCCTTTCTTCTCTGGCCTCCAGTCCAGCTGCCTGTCAGTCAGACCAACGGTGAGAGATGAGCCACACAAAAGCCAAAAAAAAGGGACACCTACTGGGCCAACTGCATTGACATTTTCCAATTCCAGTTCCAGAATTTAGCAGGAGGGGACATACTTCTGCTGGGCCTTCATCCTCTTGCGGTAATCCTTGCTCTTCTTCTTCTTCTTACTGGCGTCGTACTGACCCTTGAGCTCGAACCTGGCAGCCTCCACATGGAGCTGATAACCCCTGATCTCTGACTCGTCAATCAGTCGCTCAGCCAGGGCTACAGACTCCTTCTGCAGGGGAGGGGGAGAGGAGAAGCTTTACACCCCACACAACATACACACATCCTCTCATGGAAATAGACACATAGCAACAAAGAGATCCACGCAGACATTTCCCACTAACACCGTGAGAACACTAATCATCTCGATTACACTGCTCATAAGATCAAAACACACACAATTAACCGTTACACCGCTAAGCCCAGAGCACTCACCTTTAAGTAACAGCAGAGTCCGTCCCCTTTCTGGTTGCCCTGGCCGTCCTTGTAGAGTTTGACTTTGTACTCCTCAGAGATGGGGTCCCTCATAACAATGCCACACTTAGACATGAGCTCAACAAACTCCTCCGTGGTGATGTCCGGTGGAAGACCTGAGGAATAGGAAAGAACTTCCCTGACTGAAAGGACAGTAGGAACTTGCCTGAACAATGCCTTTATGCCTAAACAGTGCAATTCAACTGTGTTGATAGCCATCAGACCTGGGTTCAAACTACACATGTATTTAAATATTTGCATCGCTTATTTTCTGTGTATTTGAGTATTTTCAAATACACTGGCCAAAGCACAGCCGAAAACAACTACTTACGTTTGAAGTAGTTGTAAATACATGCCAATACTTTCAAAACGTATTTCCAAATCAGGGACCAAGACTGCGACCATTTAAATCGCACCACCTCACTAAAGACGTCCTATTTTTTGGGAGGCTAAAACCATGATTTGTAATGAAAGTGTCTTCCTACCGCTGTACCTGTTTCGCTGGGGCCTGATACTGTGTCGAGCGAGACTCTCTCTCCTTTCCCGGGGGGAAAATGCTCCGAGATCATTTTTGTAAAAACATTTAAAAATCCAACTGCGTGGAAAACACAGCTATCCTGTTGTCACGGTTGAAGAGAGGAGGTTCTCAGACTTCTGTAGGTATAAAATGTTTTTTCAACTCTCAATTTTGAGCTCAATAGCAACTATTTTACAGCCAACATATTTGATATGGCTTTGAGATACGGAGCGCACAAAATGGGCAATGGCCATTCCGATTGCATAGGCCTCATTGGGTAGTAGCATAGGCTATAAAATTTTTTGGGACATTATATTTATTGTTAGATTAATGCATGGCTACTAGCAGTGGGTATTATATTATATTTAGTGCTAGCGATCTAGCTAATGTGTTTTGAGTTTCCATTTACTCAGGTCGTGAATTAGCCTTTGATATTAGTGCACATAGATGCAGGCAAATAGATTTATATTTAACAAAAATAAATCGGAACATTCTGGAGCCCTATTTTAACAGTAAAATATAACAACAAAAGCCTATTGTCAACCCAAAATTCATGACATTCGCTGGATTAGGTTGCACATCAAAATATTTTTAATCACAACATGTTAAATAAAACAACTTATTTTTTTGATACCATCTCATTAGTCTATTACACATTTTAATAAAGCACTGTGAATAACTTTATATGATGATTACACATGTTTTCTATTGAGTGACGCTGCAAAAAACATAATCATAGGCCAGTGCCACCAGGAGAAAATGTTAGTCTGGAGCCCTGCAAATAAATTCCAGTATTCAACTACTTGTATTTTCAAAGGAACTTTGTCTAAATAATTGTTTCGAAATGTATTTGAAAGTATTTCAAAACTTATTTGAAAGTACTGTATTTAAAATACAGTAAATAGTATTTGAACCTAGGTCTGGTAGCCATATCCAGAGAAGGGAGACTTACCTGACACGTACACATTGGTATTCTTGTCTGTTTCCACATCAAACCAGGCTGCAAAGACAATGATGTTTGTTTGAGTATTCCCTTTGAGGATACACCAAGTCACATGTTGATTTCATGCTAAAACATGTATGTAAAACATCCTGTACCTGCTGCATCTGCCTTCCTTTTCTCCCCTTTCTCCTTTTTGCCCTCTTTCGGCTGTTCCGTGTCAGTGCGCTTCTCTGCTTTCTTCCCCTCCTCTGGCTTGGCTGGTGTGTCTGTGTTAGGTGTACATGCAGCATTTGGATCATGCTCCCCATCCTTTGTGAAGCCGTAGTTAGCTTGATATGCAGCAAGGAAGTCCTCTGTTATCTGGACGAGAAGACCAGAATTACCCCAACCACTATATTTTAAACATATTCTCACAAAAAAAGGTGATTCATGAAAACTGACATGGGGGCATGGCAATTCTAAAAGTTCTAGAAACATAACATTAGAAACATTGATGGGCAACTTTGATGGGGGTGGGGGCCACAAAAAATCTGAACTCATCATGAAGGGCCGCAGTGGCTCATGGGTCCGCGTACCCACATCCCCAATAGTTTCCCGCAATTCTGTCACATTTTGCCATGGGGCGTAAAAATTTTTTTGCAGTTGTAAAGCAAGTTTGCTGCAATTCTACACATTTTGCCATGGGGCGGAGAGAAAAATGTGCAGTTTTATAGCTAATTTCCTGCAATTATACACATTTTGTCATAGGATGGAGGAAAATGTTTGATCATCAGTTATATGATAACTGATGATCAATGGGCCCTACCACGGTTGGTTATTCGACAAGCTTCCTACAATTTTAGATAGCTAGCCGCTAGACTAATCTACCAATCTAAAAAAGTTTGCTGACATGGGCTAATTGAATGACTGCTGATGCACAAGCAAATTTCGAAATTGCACCTTGTGAATTATATTATTCTAAATCTCAACAGTCAGTTGAGAACCTGACTGAGTTCCCAAAAAATAAAATATATATACTTTTTTTGGGGGGAGGGGGGAAATTGGTCCGCAAGCCTACAAAAGGGGGGCCGCATCCGTCCCGCCAGTTGCCCATCCCTGTATTACAACATCAAGTTTTTGCAGACAGAAATGTAAGGTTTTAGCTAAGCAGAAGACGTGACGGTAACACACTTTAGGAAACCATGCTTTCTTGTCATGGTCCCAGTCATACACTGTCCCATCCTCTGGGTCCACGAAGGTGTTAGGGTCAGCTCCGCCCCCCTGTCTCTGGCCATACAGCTGCTGCAACCGGAGCTGCTCATGGAACTCCTTATTTCCATCAGTATCACCACTCATCTAAACAACACAAGAAAACACAGGTTGTGACAGGAACATTGAAGATCTTTCTTGTGTTGAGGACATGTTGTTGAATGGGCAACTACTAGCTAGAATAGTGGGCCAAGCATGTTAGCTAGCCAGCCAGCTAATAATTTAAAACAAACGTAAGACTTGTGAACTGTCAAGTCAAGATTTGTAGCTAGCTAGCTGTGGACAGCTAGGTGGTTAGCTAACGTTAGTGAACTAGCTAGAAATCTATACTGAACAAAAATATAAAGGCAACATGCATCAATTTCAACGATTTTACTGAGTTACAGTTCATATAAGGAAATCAGTCAATTTAAATAAATGTTTTAGGCCCTAATCTATGGATTTCACATGACTGGGCAGGGGTGCAGCCACGGGTGGGCCTGGGAGGGCATACGCCCACCAACTTGGGAGCCAGGCCTACCCACTGGGGAGCTAGGCCCAGCCAATCACAATGAGGTTTTCCCCACAAAAGGGCTTTATTACAGACAGAAATACTCCTCAGTTTCATCAGCTGTCCGGGTGGCTGGTCTTAGATGATCCCACAGGTGAAGAAGCTGGAAGTGGAGGTCCTGAGCTGGCGTGGTTACACATGGTCTACGGTTGTGAGGCCGGTTGGGCGTACTGCCAAATTCCCTAAAATGACGTTGGAGGCGGCTTATGGTAGAGAAATGAACATTCAATTCTCAGGGAACAACTCTGGTGGACATTCCTGCAGTCAGCATGCCAATTGCGCGCTCCCTCAAAACTTGAGACATCTGTGGCATTGTGTTGTGTGACAAAACTGCACATTTTAGAGTGGCCTTTTATTGTCCCCAGCACAAGGTGCACCTGTGTAATGCTCATGCTGGGTAATCAGTTTATTGATATGCCACACCTGTCAGGTGGATGGATTATCTTGGCAAAGGAGAAATGCTCACTAACAGGGTAAACACATTTGAGAGAAATACGTTTTTTGTGCGTATAGAACATTTCTGGGATATTTTATTTCAGCTCATGAAACCAACACTTTATAATGTTGCGTTTATATTTATGTTCAGTATAGTTACTGAGCTACGTTAGCTAGTAGCCCATGGCAGCTGCGTGACTAAAACTGAAATCAGACAATGAAAAGTATATTATACACATCTGTATAGGTACTAACGTTACTCATATCTAGTTAATTGACTAGATCTAGCTAGTTAGCTTTGATTATTTATTTTAATTTTAGCTACTAACGTTAGCTGACAATCAACCAAGTGTGCCTTGTTAGCTAGCTAACGTTAACAAGTTCTGCTTGATGTGTTTAGCCAGGAATTAGACTAGAACATAACTTTACATAACGAGCCAAGGGGCAGCAATGCTTATATTTGAAGATCAATTAATTGTATATTGATTAGTTAGTTAATTCAACGTTAAAACATTAGCCAGCTCAGCTACCTTTGACGGTCCGCCGCCAACGATGACTGAAGATACACTTCCGGTGTCAAAGAACAACTTCTGGTAGTCATAAACCCATAGAGTCATGGCTAGAAGGCATTGAGCTTTTGTCAACTCAAAACGTCAAAAGTGTTTTAATTTTTTTTGCATTTGAGCTAACCCTAACCATTTTCAAACCCTTAACCTAATTATCCTAACCTGCTACGAAAAGTGAAATCTGACGTAAATATTACAAAAGCTGGATCCCTTCTAGCCAAGACCTCAACATGTGTCGTCGCCAGGGGAGAACGACTGTCTCTCAATAAAGCCACGAAGTTCGAGGCAGACCGTGGTACTTCAGGCAGGCATTGTTTGCAGAAAACAGGATCCCCCATTATAGTATGGGCAAAGATGGTGGTAATGGTAATTGCAATAGTCTGTAAAAAATAAAGGACAAAACAATTACTGGTTGAGGTCTTAAACGCGAAGTAGACAGCCATCGGCCCTAAACCCTCAGCCCTTGAATTACGTTTTACATCGTCACATCCGAGTGAGCCTTAAACGTTCTTCGCCCAAGCAACAGAGAGTGATAATCTGAGAGGCAAAGTCCTTGGTGGAAATCTTGAAATTGAGCCTAAAAACAAACAACCAACCTGAAGCTATTGATGTACCTAGCAAGCTAAGGTAGCTAGTACTCATGTCGGGTAGCTAGCTACAGTTACCCATAGCTGGCTAGCTAGTTTTATCGTTTGGTTATTTATTCCAAATATAATACATTTTATGTTTATGAAGTTAGCTAGCTACGTTTTATAGGCTCCTATGAGTCTGAGCCACTTTGAGCGTCATATTCCCATTTGTCTCCGCTAAAAATCAATGTCATATATATATATATATATTTTTTTTTTTAGCTAGCATCATAATTTTGTTTCACATGCCAAAAAATGCTGCGTGTTAATTTCATTTGACACTTTGCGATCAAAGTTGTTCACTCGCTCCCTCAAGGTAAATCGAGGACCAAGGGGCAACTTTTATGAATTGGACCGTCATTTAAGATGGCAATCTCACTGCATCCGGTTTCAACGGAGATTCCCGAGGAAAAGTGCTAGCGGGCTGAGGGGGTAGAAATAACACGATTGGACCGCCGCCATTGTATATTGAATGGACAAAGCCATCGATCACGTTACACCATTCATTCCTATGTGAAGACTCAATAGCTAATTGAAGCCAAATTAAGTCGGTTAAAATGGGGTCTCATGGAGACATAGGGAGCATTCCTCTTCCAGGCGTTGCTGACGCATGCCAGATCTTACAACGCCTGGATAGGTATTTTAAGTATCAACTAACCACAACATATGTTATAGCAATCTGTCAGTCGATGACACAGTCGATGACGTGGCACGCGACCATTGTTTGAAGCATGCAACGTCTAAGCAGTAACTGAAATTGAAGGCCGACTGTGGTACTGCAGGCTGCTATTAGCAACTAAATTATCCTCATGACTTCTGTCAAAAAAATAATCTGTTCATAATTAAATTGGCAGGTTAAGAGAACTAACGTAGCAGGTTAGGATAATTAATGTAGCGGGTTAGGATCATTAATGTGGCAGGTTAGGAGAACTAACCTAGCAGGTTAGGAGAATGAGGTTAAGGTTAGGAAAAGCGTTAGTGTTAGGTTTAGCTAAAATGCTGCAAGGAAACAGCAAGCAGCCACTCAAAACGGTCTTGAATGGAAACCAATCTTCCCAATTAGCTGATAGGTTTCCATATATACACCCACTTATGTTGATCCTCCCACTTATTTCGCAATGCCCACTTTTAGACACACTGCACATATGCAGCCACCCATGACTCTAAACATGCCGCATACTAGAGTGGAAAAGTCTAAATGTAATCCTTGGGACATCCTGCCAGAGATACTCTAATGACGAGATGGTCCAAGTATGGGTAAGTGCTTACGAATGATGAATTCATAACCAAGTGGGAAGGTGGTAATTACCAGTTGTGAAGTCATAAATACCATTTGGATGCATTCATGGGGTGAGTTCTAGTGGTAAGCCTAACGAAGCCGGCTGTAGACGAAAGTCAACGAGTGAAGTCAGGCGAGGTGCATCTGCGGCAGCCGAAAGTCGGACACTAGTGGTTTTCCAACAGCAAGGCTCAGATCAACATGGCAGTGTCAACATAGCTCCTATTGTTTATAAAGGTTTTTCTGTATAAATGTCGAAATAAACTTTTCTATACCCCCATATCACACACTCACAAACTGAAAACATAACGTGTGTACAATTAATTAGTTAGAGCGAGGTCTCAAATATCACTTTCATGTGTATCCCCTGTAGCTTTAGAATCGTTGCAAAGTTGGTACCTGTTTCAGTCATGTCTTTGGCCACATTCACATGGGTCAAACAAAAACACCATAATGATTGATTGACAAATAGTGCCTCCAACAATGCAGGTGATGGCTGCATGGTGCAGTTGGTGAGAAGCAATTGCAGTTATTTTAAGACAACTTCATCAAAAACTGCATGTCCTTTGATCACATTATTGTTGAAAAGTTCATGCAGTCATCACGCACCCACGTTCTTTGAACTCCCTGAGAAACGCTATTTGGCCAACAAGCTGTGTCAACCATAAACTAAAAGTACAGCTATCATGCTTGTAAACAAATCATAGATTCAAAACTATATTAATAGATTGCTTTTTATAAAGAATGTTTTGTTGTTGCATTTAACTGCCAAAATTACTGTTATCAAGGTAATTTCCTTAGTAGGTGACGTCAGAGGTGGGAGAAGTCGGAGCTCAGGGATGATAGACTAGTAATTACCAGTTGGAAGGGCATTCAAGTGTATTTTTCCAAGTCGTTTGTGGTAAATACCACCTTCCCACTTGGTTATGAATGCAGCAGAGTGTGTCTGAAAGTGGGCGTGGTGAAAGAAGTGGATGGATCTACAGCAATGGGTGTAACATCTGTGCTCTGTTATTGGTTAGACAGTTTTGAGTGAGCGGTGTTGTTTTTCTTCTTACCATCACGAGAGTTTGGACTTCTGTTTTGTCTGAGTCGTATTTTACTCTTACAAATAATTGTACATTTTCAGTTAATAAAACTGACGATTGTTTATTTTTTAATAATAGTAATGATGATTGGTGTACTGTTGCTGGTATGTGAGTGATCCACTCGAACACGCCCATGATGTAGATGGTCTTGTCTCCTCCCTAACAATGGGAGTCGTTGGGCGCGTTCGAGCAGATCACTTTTGTCAAGTCGTGACCATCGTTGGTCACCGCCTTTCAAAGTGTGTTGCATTATGGGGATAACAATTGTCTGGGCTCGTTTGAGTTGGGCCCACCGCTGTTAAACTCCACTGAAGAAGAAGAAGGCGGAAAGGCAGGCGGGAGGAGGCGAGATCAGGTGGGAACATCCTAGCCAATGAGAGGGCAGATACACGTGTGAACAGCAGACAACTTTTTGTTGAAGTTGCCTGTAATATTCATATATGTCAGCATACTGAATTGTAATTGGATGCATTCTACCGTCGTATCATACTGCGCTATGATTGGTTAAGACCACCCAGGTGGGGAGGCCATCTTCAAGATGATCATGGCCGGAGACACATGAACATGCCAGTTATAGCTAGCTAATAAAGAGCTACGTTTAGAAAGATCCTGTCTTGCTGCATTTTATTATTTTGTACAAAGCATACAAAACAAGACATTGCCGAGATGCCACGTGCGTCCACTTATATCAGTACATTCCTAACAACCTTAACATTACAAAACTATTTGATCAAATCAGATCCAACACAAATAATCCCTAGTTGGTCTGCTTATCGCTGTATTCTCAAGTGGACAGATTTTGACAGGTGTGGAGCCTCTCGCTTCACGTCTTTCTCTCTGCCCGTGCACATAATGTATGGCAGCAGGGGGCAGTAGAGAGCACCACCCTTTGACCACAGATCAACAAAATAACTGTGTCTCCCATCCCAACTTTTCAGGCACATACTGGTATTTTTCATCTCACATAAAACTTTTATACACAAATACTGATATTTTAAAAAGATAGCAGTCAGTGTCATTTATTGTCAGTTTTGCACACATGCAGACTAGTCTAATTTGTCACACCTTCAGTACAATAAATAGATCAGTAAGGATGGACTGGACATCAGGACATCATTCATCAGATAGATCATCACAAAGAACTTCATTTTCATTTGCTCCAAGGTAAGTAGAAATTAAAAACACCATTCATATTATGTCCTAAATGTTGCTTTATCATACTCTTAGGGAGACCTCCTCCACATCCACAAGTGCATTCATGTCCCAGAATGTGTCAAAGCGAAAGCTGCCATGTTACACAGAACCAAGCCTTGTCTGATATTTCAGATTGCACAAGTTACTTCAAATCTTTGTTTCTATTTTCATTCATTTAGCACAAATGAAGGTGTTCCACCTTGCCGTATTTCAAAGGTCTTATGGAATAGGTAGACGATGTCTTGGGTGAGATCCGTCTTGCCAAGAGGGCCCCTCGTAGTGCCCCTCCTCTGGGAAAGAGGCGCTCTTGTGAGGAAGAGGAGCGGAGATGCGTGGGACACGTGGTAGTGCCAAGTTATTCTCATACACAAGGTCTTCCAACCAAGGGGAAACAAGCAGAACATATATTTCTACACCAGGCACTCTAGCTCTAATCACTCATTATAACATCATCATAGAATAATAATACATCAGAATCATTCTTGCTTGGAAGAAAATGGGATCTCACCCAAGTTAGGTCTTCTGATGGAGACCTGTCGTTGACTGGAGTCGGAGGAGGCAGAGGTGCTGTCTGTGGCACTGGACTTGATGGACCTCACTGAGGGCATGCGTACCAGAGGGTTAGGTCTGGATTTGGCACCAACTGTAGCAGTCTGGCTCCACTCTGAACAACAAGACAAGTTATACATCCATAACTTTTGATTTTCAGATCACCATAAAATATATAAAAACTGTTTTTATGAACATTTGATTTATTCTGATAATGGTCAAACAGTAATTGAATTTCTGATTTGGGTGGTTATATTACAGTATATTGATATGTGGTTGCATTACCAGAGTAGTCTTGGAGTCTGAAGCGGCCAAAGCACAAATGGATTCTCCATTGTTTTCTCACATTCTCCTTCATCAGACAGTGGAACAGAAATATAAAGAACCCTAAAACACACCGGTGACACTGGCATCAGGTTATACCCTATATACAGTGGGGGGAAAAAGTATTTAGTCAGCCACCAATTGTGCAAGTTATCCCACTTAAAAAGATAAGAGAGGCCTGTAATTTTCATCATAGGTACACGTCAACTATGACAGACAAATTGAGGAAAAAAATTCCAGAAAATCACACTGTAGGATTTTTTATGAATTTATTTGCAAATTATGGTGGAAAATAAGTATTTGGTCACCTACAAACAAGCAAGATTTATGTCTCTCACAGACCTGTAACTTCTTCTTTAAGAGGCTCCTCTGTCCTCCACTCGTTACCTGTATTAATGGCACCTGTTTGAACTTGTTATCAGTATAAAAGACACCTGTCCACAACCTCAAACAGTCACACTCCAAACTCCACTATGGCCAAGACCAAAGAGCTGTCAAAGGACACCAGAAACAAAATTGTAGACCTGCACCAGGCTGGGAAGACTGAATCTGCAATAGGTAAGCAGCTTGGTTTGAAGAAATCAACTGTGGGAGCAATTATTAGGAAATGGAAGACATACAAGACCACTGATAATCTCCCTCGATCTGGGGCTCCACGCAAGATCTCACCCTGTGGGGTCAAAATGATCACAAGAACGGTGAGCAAAAATCCCAGAACCACACAGGGGGACCTAGTGAATGACCTGCAGAGAGCTGGGACCAAAGTAACAAAGCCTACCATCAGTAACACACTACGCCGCCAGGGACTCAAATCCTGCAGTGCAAGACGTGTCCCCCTGCTTAAGCCAGTACATGTCCAGGCCCGTCTGAAGTTTGCTAGAGTGCATTTGGATGATCCAGAAGAGGTCATATGGTCAGATGAAACCAAAATAGAACTTTTTGGTAAAAACTCAACTCGTCGTGTTTGGAGGACAAAGAATGCTGAGTTGCATCCAAAGAACACCATACCTACTGTGAAGCATGGGGGTGGAAACATCATGCTTTGGGGCTGTTTTTCTGCAAAGGGACCAGGACGACTGATCCGTGTAAAGGAAAGAATGAATGGGGCTATGTATCGTGAGATTTTGAGTGAAAACCTCCTTCTATCAGCAAGGGCATTGAAGATGAAACGTGGCTGGGTCTTTCAGCATGACAATGATCCCAAACACACCGCCCGGGCAACGAAGGAGTGGCTTCGTAAGAAGCATTTCAAGGTCCTGGAGTGGCCTAGCCAGTCTCCACATCTCAACCCCATAGAAAATCTTTGGAGGGAGTTGAAAGTCTGTGTTGCCCAGCGACAGCCCCAAAACATAACTGCTCTAGAGGAGATCTGCATGGAGGAATGGGCCAAAATACCAGCAACAGTGTGTGAAAACCTTGTGAAGACTTACAGAAAACGTTTGACCTGTGTCATTGCCAACAAAGGGTATATAACAAAGTATTGAGAAACTTTTGTTATTGACCAAATACTTATTTTCCACCATCATTTGCAAATAAATTCATTAAAAATCCTACAATGTGATTTTCTGGATGTTTTTTTCTAATTTTGTCTGTCATAGTTGACGTGTACCTATGATGAAAATTACAGGCCTCTCTCATCTTTTTAAGTGGGAGAACTTGCACAATTGGTGGCTGACTAAATACTTTTTTCCCCCACTGTACCTTCTACCCTATGATAGGATAGTGCGACATTTTGGCAATTCAGTTTTTTCTAGTTACCCAGAGTCAGATGAACTCATGGATATCATTTTTATCTCTGCGTGCAGTTTGAAGGTAGTTTCTGGAGCCATTGCTAACTAGCGTTAGCGCAATGACTGGAAGTCTACAGGAACAGCTAGCATGCTTTAAACAGATAAACGACTGGCAGCAGTCACTCACCTTGCAGACTGTTGAGGACACAGAAGAGGTAGAGGAAGGGAACCTTGGCTGGCCCCCAGGCGAAGAAAGCCACAATCCAGGTGAGACCCAGCAGGAAGGTGAGACTGGACACCCCCTTCAGGTCCTGCAGAAGGAGGCCGCTGTGGATGCCAGCCGGCTGATTGACCCGCATGTGGCGGATCTGGACCAGGACCACCACGAAGATGGCCATGTTGAACAGCATCACCAGCAGAATGTAGCCCACCACAGACACATAGAAAGCCACTTCATCCTGGATCCAGCAGCTGATAATAGGAGAGAGAGGGATTTTATCTACACATCAGAATAACAACCTCAGTCCAGGATCCAGGGGCGCAACTTTCACTGGGGACGGGGGGGGGGGGGACGGGGACATGTCCCCCCTACATTCTGAAACCAAAGTTGCGCCCCTGCCAAAATCTACAATACACAGATATACTATACAGACGCTAGTACCTCACAATGGTCATTCATGATCTACACGTAGCCCAATTGAACTATATAAAGTTTGACATTGAGTGTCAGATACATGTTATTCAGTGTCAGAAAAAGGCGCTGCTCATCTAATGATAGTGAAAGGGAACAATAAAGTACAACACGATTAATCTAATACTCACAACGCCTCAGAGTTATCTAGTGGTTCCATGGACTCGCTGCCGAGGGAGCTGCCGTAGGAGTCTCTCTTCACAACCAGAACTATGCAACATATAGCCAGAGGGATTCCTGCAAGAGGGGAGGAAGATGGAGAAGGAGAACGGGTGATATGGTTCAATTGATAGGAGTAAGGGGAAATACGGATAACTGTGGTTAAAGACCGTAGGATTTCGTAATGTTCTAATTGAACGAAGTTGATCTCACCCCATCCTAGGGAGCAGAACTTTAGGATGTAGGAAGGCACATAAACATTGAAGACTTTGACCAATGCAAAGTACATGTGCACAGCCTCCAGGCCCATCCAGGTGAAAGAGGCCAGTAGGAAATAGTGCAGTGCGGAAGCCACCGCCACACAGAGCCCATAGCTGCCAAAGGAGGAGAGCCAGGAGTTGACCAGGAAAACCATGTTGAGCCCCAGCAGCGCCAGAGACAAGTTAATGAGGATCTTGGATGGGTAGTCTCTGCGGAGCTTCCTGTGAGGGAAAATGGGGATATGTGAGATGGAGAGAAAGCTGAGAGGGCAAGAATCGAGCAGATGGTATAAAGTGTATGAAAAAAAGGAGGAGTCTGTGGTAAGAATGCTGTAAGTTACTTTACAAAACACACAAAGATGATACAGTGTGAAAACAGGAAGACTCCAAAAACTGAAGGTGCAGAGTGTACATGTAACTGAATTGATTCTTACTCAAATGCTGTGTATGTCAATACAGTGATTCCCAGGAAGACAGAGGATACACCACAGCCCAGATAAGTGATGATGGTCAGAATTTCCTCATTTGGTATGTCGATTTGAGTCCTGGATACATCCTACAATACAAGGGAGGACAGTGGGGTAGAGGAGAACATCGTGGTAAGAACAAAGCTTATGTACAGTTTTGTAAGGTAACCACCCTTGGTGCATTTAAAAGAGGGTCATTACCAGAAGTACTCCAAAATGAGTGAGGTGGTCACACAGGCATGTGGTATAGTCAGCACTGGTGTTGTGCTTCCTGCATCCGTGCTGTTCCCATCCTCCCTTACCTTCTGTAGTAAAATAAAATATGTATAATAATTAATATAAGTACCATATTGATAAATATTATATAAATACCATGTATAATATATTAATATAGTATAAGTAATTTAAGTAATTTAAGTATAAGTAATAATATGCCTCCGCTATAACACACACACACACACTACACAAATCAACTCTGAGTATACACTTTCCAAAATATTAGGATTTCATTTGCTTGATTATTCATCTGTGGTTTATAATAGCACCCACCATTTTGATTGAAGTCCCAGTAGACACATTGCACCTCCTCACCAAGCTTCAAGAGAAAATCAAATTGGATCAGGCAGCAAAATATGGGTTTGATTGATCATTTTACAAGTGGTTGTTCAGTTGATTTATTGTCAGGAAGTGTTCCACATACTGGATTGGACATCACGTGATGCAGTGTCACCTCAACATCCTCCTCTAGGTCCTTGATGGGGCCACTGGCATTGGTGACACTGGCTGACACCACATAAGTGTTAAGGATCTTCCCATTCGGGTTGTTCTGAAATCAAAAGCATACAAGATATTTACTCCTTTCCAATAATACAATGTAGTTCTGACATAATAAAGACGGCCTTGCAGTGGTACAACTCTGTTACCATGAAGAGAGTTGGGACTCCATAAAACTGAAACTGAACCCGCGGCTGGGCTCCACTGTGTTGAGGAAATCTGTACTTCAAGGCTGAGGGTAGGGAGATGAATGCAACTGTCCCTTTGAACGGATCCTTGTTGATATAAATCTACAACACCAAGATTAAGGCCATGATCAGAACAATGCCATCTTAATCTCAATGACTGTACAGATGGTTAAAATGGAGGAGTTATATCACTTTGTGTTTAGAAGTATAACTATTGTAATGTTTGGCAATGAATTAGTGCTAACCTCAGGGTTTAGGCCCTCTGCAGCAGACGAGACGCCAAAAGTGAGGATCTGAAACTGGCCAGGGTCTACATCCACCACAGAGATTGCCATCGCAGAAGCAAGCAAAGTGTAATTTCTCTGGTCAAAACAAGACATCTTGTCACCTACCATCTCTGTAATGTTCAGTATTCTGCAGAGCAAAGAGCAGGGGGCAGAGTTGAGGACACAGTAAATATTGATAGCAGAACATACAGGAAAATGAGAGGAGAGAGAGAGAGAGAACATGTTATCCATTTGTACAGCTTCAATAGTCCAGGGCTACGTTCCAATATCCATACCCAATACATTCCTTCATTCTAATTGGTATGCTAGTGTGGATTCTGGATCGGATCCCAGGAGTATCTCGTACGACTATGTGGTTTTGAGGAAGCCTCCTCCTGATCACCACTCCATTTCTTTAACCACCTGATCTATGTCGTAGGGCTGATGGAACAGAGAGAAAACACCCACTGGTTGGTCACAGGCTGTAGGTAGCTCTTAGACTCCAAGATGTCGGAGATGATGTTGATGATAGCTTTGCCCAGAGGTGGGGTCATACAGCCGATGAAAGCAATGTTTTTGAGTTTCTTCAGGACTGTGTCAAGTTCAGTGCGGTTGAGGTCTGGATGGTCCTCCAGCAGGCTCTCTATCATCTCCACCACATCCATAGCATTCTCTGAAAACACAAAAAGTATAATGCATTGACTATTATGGTCACAGACAGTGTGCGTCCCCCAAATGGACGCAGTAGAACTACCCAGGCGAAGTCAACTCACCAGGAGTGACATCAATGTTGTCTAGGTCTGGAATGGTCTCAACCACAAACGGGCACTGGTGCAGATCTGGGAAGCCCCAATGGATTGGAAAACCCAACAGACTGTCAGCAGGACAGGTGTGTCAGGTGTCATCCACCCATGGTCAAACAGATGACAGACAGAAATATCAAAGTCAATGAGTATAATATACAGTACGAGTCAAAAGTTTGGACACACCTATTCATTCAAGGGTTTTTCTTTATTTTTACTATTTTTTAAATTGTAGAATAACAGTGAAGACATCAAAACAATGAAATAACACATATGGATTCATGTAGTAAACCAAAAAGTGTTAAACAAATCAAAATCTATTTTATATTTGAGATTCTTCAAATAGCCACCCTTTGCCTTGATGACAGCTTTGCACACTTTGGCATTCTCTCAACCAGCTTCCCCTGGAATGCTTTTCCACCTTGAAGGAGTTCCCACATATGCTGAGCACTTGTTGGCTGCTTTTCCTTCACTCTGCCGTCCGACTCATCCCAAACCATCTCAATTGGGTTGAGGTCGGGGGATTGTGGAGGCCAGGTCATCTGATGCAGCACTCCATCACTCTCCTTCTTGCTAAAATAGCCCTTACACAGCCTGGAGGTGTGTTGGGTCATTGTCCTGTTGAAAAACAAATGATAGTCCCGCTAAGCCCAAACCAGATGGGATGGCGTACCGCTGCAGAATTCTAAATAAATAACAGACAGTGTCACCAGCAAAGCACCCCCACACCATAACACCTCCTCCTCCATGCTTTACGATGGGAACTACACATACAGAGATCATCCGTTCACCCACACCGTGGCTTACGAAGACACGGCGGTTGGAACCAAAAATCTCAAATTTGGACTCCAGACCAAAGGATACATTTCCACCGGTCTAATGTCCATTGCTCGTGTTTCTTGGCCCAAGCAGGTCTCTTCTTCTTATTGGTGTCCTTTAGTTGTGGTTTCTTTGCAGCAATTCGACCATGAAGGCCTGATTCACACTGTCCCCTCTGAACAGTTGATGTTGAGTTGTGTCTGTTACTTGAACTCTGTGAAGCATTTATTTGGGCTGCAATTTCTGAGGCTGGTAACTCTAATGAACTTATCCTCTGCAGCAGAGGTAACTCTGGGTCTTCCATTCCTGTGGCGGTCCTCATGAGAGCCAGTTTCATCATAGCGCTTGATGGTTTTTGTGACTGCACTTGAAGAAACTTTCAAAGTTCTTGAAATGTTCCGTATTGACTGACCTTCATGTCTTAAAGTAATGATGGACTGTCGTTTCTCTTTGCTTATTTGAGCTTTTCTTGCCATAATATGGACTTGGTCTTTTACAAAATAGGGCTATCTTCTGTATACCCCCCCCTACCTTGTCACAACACAACTGATTGCCTCAAATGCATTAAGAAGGAAAGAAATTCCATAAATTAACTTTGAAGAAGGCACACCTGTTAATTTAAATGCATTACAGGTGACAACCTCATGAAGCCAGTTGAAAGAATGCCAAGAGTGTGCAAAGCTGTCATCAAGGCAAAGGGTGGCTATTTGAAGAATCTCAAATATAAAATATATTTTGATTTGTTTAACAATTCTTTGGTTACTACATGATTCCATATGTGTTATTTCATTGTTTTGATGTCTCCACTATTATTCTACAATGTAGAAAATAGTAAAATAAAGAAAAACCCTGGAATGAGTAGGTGTGTCCAAACCTTTGACTGGTACTGTACACTGAACAAAAATATAAACTCTACATGTAAAGTGTTGGTCCCATGTTCCATGAGCTGAAATAAAAAATCCCAGACTTTTTCCAAACACACAAAAAGCTTATTTCTCTAAAGGTTTGTGTAGATTTTTTTAAATATCCATGTTAGTGACCATTTCTCCTTTGCCAAGATAATCCATCCACCTGAGTATTTCTGTCTGTAATAAAGCCCTTTTGTGGGGGAAAAGCTAATTCTGATTGGCTGGGCCTGGCTGATTATTCTCAAAGAAGTGCTAATTTGTAACGGGAAATTTGTTTTGATAGGCTATCGTTTAGGTGTAGCTTACGGCTTCATTTCAGATGCACTTGTATGTAGCAGTGAAGACCAATATCTATCTTGTGTTATTAAGCTACAGTATATAAAACGACGTTGTTGATGTGTTTGGCTGCATTTCAGATACATTTTAGTTCATTTGAATGTTGCAGAAGTAGGATTTACAGTAGTAGGGACATGTATTCTGTCTGATGCTTTAACGTTTGAGCGAGTGAGAGAGACAGAGAACTGGAGGTTTTCATTGAATTTTATTAAATTTAAATTTGAGTTTCCTGTAGTGCAGGAAAATTCTCAGTGACAACAAAGTGATCAAATTAGGATACCACATATGTAGGTTTACAATTTGCAGTGTTGCTTCCCTACACATAATTATTGTTATGGAGGCGAACAGAGACAAACAATATCACATCCCTCGCAAACAGTATTTAACACCCATAATAAAATTGATCATGGTTATAATTTAAATATTAACTCTGCTTATTATCTCTAACTGATACATGTTTTTATTGCAGGACATATTCCAGATGTACAGTCATCGATTGATTTAGTCATAATTGTTCAACGCAAATAGCCCTATTCTAGTGTTAATGAGAGACAGCTAGGTCATTATGTTGCAGACAGCACATAGTCTCTGACAACAAGATGAAATTGGCTATAAAATCAATGAGCCAGAAAAGATAAACCTCTACAACTCAGCTGTTCAATGAGACACCATTTTTGAGACCACAAGAGCCCTTTATCATTGATAATTAGTCATCACCTTCCATAATGTACCAACTACATCATGTACTACAGTATTTTAGCTTGACAGCTTGTCTCACCAGAGCCTGCTAGCTGTCTTGCTGGGGTCTCCCTGACATGGCAGCGTGGCAGTCAGGGGGGCCCAGGTGAGCGGCCACACAAACAGGCCCTGTCTGGTCTGGTGTCGGTGCTCAAGACAACTCCCTGGCACTTTGGGGAACAAGGAAGACAAGGCATCAACTCCTGCACAACTCACAGGGACAAAGGGTCTATTTTCAAATCATTCACATCAAAGGGAAACGCCATTTTTGTACTGGTTCTTCAAACCTCTTTTGCTCTAGACAGTACCAGAGTCCATTCAATTTTAGTTTTATGGGTCTTGTTTCATATCAACAAAGTGAAGCTTACGTATATGACGGATATTGATGTCCTTGGACTTGTTTTCCATGGTTATCTTGCCATTGGTGTACGTCTTCTCCAGGATTGTACGGATCCTTGTCCTTGTCTCCTCTTGACTTGATGACGTTGTCACCTGCATCTGGAATAGGCAGCCGTGTCTGTGGATGGATGGGGAAACATTACATACATCTGTGCGCCAAACTACTTCATCCTTACTTCTTAAATTAAATAATCCGGTGAAATAGTTAGTATGGTTCACTCCATTTTATTATAAATTACATGCAGTGTCTGGTTGTCCTCAGTGTATGTCTGACTTTTGTGGTATTCTTTTGTATGATCATACCTTGACGTTTTGAGCAAGGAAGGCTGTAAGAAAGAATTACACTGTTTAGTGCTTACAGACCTTGAATATTTGAGCAGAAAAAGTACCAGTAGGTCAAAGTAGTTTTCATTTTCAATGGGAATATGTTAATCTATCACAATTCAATTTCTTGCTGCCTCAACTACCTGGAGAATAATTTGTATGTCCTGCCGATACATACCCCATCAGAATCAATCGTGTTTGATCGTGGAGATGGATGCTGCACACTGAAAGATAGAACACCTACTGATTGAACTGATACTCTCTGCTTACCAATGTTTTCTTTAAAGGCCCAATTCAGCCGTTTGAATCTAAATATCAAATCATTTCTGAGTAACAATTTCCTACCGTACTGTAATAGGTTCCCATTAAAATTGTCAAAAATAAACAAACTTTTACAGCGTTAGTTTCATCAGCTGTTTTACAATATGATACAAAACACAGGAAAAACATACTTTTTACTGCACTGGGCCTTTAAGAGGTTCAAATTAAGGGCTCACTATATCCCACAAATGGAATTATGGGAGATTTTCTCTTGCTCTTAATTTGAACCTCTTAATGGCCCAGTGCAGTCAAAATTGAGTTTTTCCTGTATTAGTGAGTGTTTTACTGATACATACCTGTTTGCCTTTCCCAAAAGCTGGAAGGTCAGAACAGACATCTCATCAGGTAGAGTGACATTCAGCTGAAATTGTCAGAGAACAGCAGTGTGATGAGTAACCTGGGTTCATCAGGAAATCAAGCATTTGAATGAAGAAAAGCTGTGCTTTCAGCTCACGTACCCAGGTAATCATAGTAAGTTCCGGATCGACACAGAACCCAGTAATGGTCACGTTCACATCAACCTCAAAATATATGTCTGTGATGAAAGACAACATTAAGACGTTTAACACTGAGAGTGTGAGATATTTGAAACCAATATATTTCAGGCCAACAATTATCACATGCTGTAATTAGTTTGATTGTGGTTGGAAGAAGGGGTGGACTGGATCATTTCCTGAAACAGATGAGGAAGACACTAACCTGAGAGTTTGCCACCAGTCGTGACACTAAGGTCTGTGGTTGTGTCAGAAGAGGTTCCAGTGACCATGACAATGGGAGGAATGATTGTGGCAGGGGGGAAGTCCTCTGGGGAAAGAAACAATCACTCTCATCATCACAGTGGAACCATAGACCTGCATTGGCATCACTCTTCTATATCATATATAGGGCCAGGAATCTATCCTACTGACCATGTGATCTGACCAGGAAAAACAATGGGCCTAATCATTCAGTAACCTTTCCTCCCAAGTTAGCTACTCTTTAGTTATTACTTTATCTCCAGAGGTGGGATTCCTTTTGGAATGTTTTGTGTCTTACCTACAGCGTTCACTTGGATACTGTGGGGGTTAGCCGTTAGTGTGAGATGTCCAGAGTTGTGAGGTGTGTTCAGCAACTGAGAGACCTGTATCTGCACTGTACTGACATCAGAGCTGGGGATCACGTTGAGGTGGACCAGGCAGTCAAAGCTGTGTGGTGATTACAGCAATTATTAAACAACAACAAGGACAAGTCCTTTTAGTCCCAAACCTATAACTTCAATCAGCTCCTGGACATGTTAGGCAGTGAGTATATTTTTGTGTTCATTTGCGCCAATTGTAGTGTCAAAGAGACCATTTAAAAAAAAGGGAAACTTCAAACTTATGAATAACACCAGAGTAATGTTTTTCTTACCGGTTTGCATAAAATTCAGCCCGCAATATTGGTTTGTCCTGGGGAATTGAAATTGTAATACATGCTATCATCTGTGCTTAAAAAAGGTGCACAGATCATCATCAGAATACATGTATAACTATGTCACTGTCACGTTATTGTTGTTACTGTGTAGTATCATCATTCCGTCGAGTTCAACACTTACCTCGACCTCTTCCTCATATGTCTCACCAACACTGTCAAAGTGTGAAATGGCTTGTATTGGGTGATTGCAACTGAGATGAAAAGATTATTGACTAGAATATTGCATAAATAAATCCCCAATATACCTGTACTAAATGTGTATTTGGGACTTTTCTTACCTGGCTGACACAGACACGGAGACTCTGTACAAATGATATTTGTTGGATGGCAGTATCTGTGTGAGCTGCAAGGATATAAAGGTAACATAGCCATTCAAATGGAGAACATTACATATGCTGAGTAATCTTAGAACCAATTAAAACACTGTGCAACAAACAGTAAGTGAAATGTGACCCAGTAGCTTACCCATTGATGTGCAAGGTCTCTGGCTATGTATATATCTGTACTGTTTCCATCGTAGCGGATGATGGCGATCTTGACTTTAACTTCATATAAAGACCAGGCTGACACAAATGATGGCATTGATCAGTAGCAATGTATAACAGACAAAGTATTGCATTGGTGTTTAGCCCATTTACCTTCTGATTTGTAGCTACTTATCTTACCTATATATCTACACTGAACAAAAATATAAACGCGACATGCAACAATTTCTAAGATTTTACTGAGCTACAGTTCATATAAGGAAATCAGTCAATTGAAAATGAAATTCATTAGGTCCTAATTTATGGATTTCACATGACTGAGAATACAGATATGCATCTGTTGGTCACAGATACCTTAAAAAAAGGTTGGGGCGTGGATCAGAAAACCAGTCAGTATCTGGTGTTACCACCATTTGCCTCATGCAGCGCAACACATCTCCTTCGCACAGAGTTGATCAGTCTGTTGATTGTGGCCTGTGGAATGTTGTCCCACTCCTGTTCGTACACGTTAATCCAGAGCATCCAAAACATGCTCAGTGGGTGACATGTCTGGGACATTTTCAGCTTCCAGGAATTGTGTACAGATCCTTTCGACATGGGGCCGTGCATTATCATGCTGAAACATGAGGTGATGGCGGTGGATGAATGGCACGACAATGGGCCTCTGGATCTCATCAGGGTATCTCTGTGCATTCAAATTGCCATAGATAAAATGGAATTGTTTTCATTGTCCATAGCTTATGCCTGCCAATACCATAACCCCACCGCCACCATGGGGCACTCTGTTCACAACGTTGATATCAGCAAACTGCTCGCCCACACGACGCCATACACGCTGTCGGCCATCTGCCCGGTACAGTTGAAACCGGGATTCATCCGTGAAGAGCACACTTCTCCAGTGTGCCAGTGGCCATCGAAGGTGAGTTACGACGCCGAACTGCAGTCAGGTCAAGACCCTAGTGAGGACGACGAGCATGCAGATGAGCTTCCCTGAGACGGTTTCTGACAGTTTTGTGCCACAATTCTTCGGTTGTGCAAACCCACAATTTCATCAGCTGTCCGGGTGGCTTGTCTCAGACGATCCCGCAGGTGAAGAAGCTGGATGTGGAGGTCCTTGGCTGGCGTGGTTACACGTGGTCTGTGGTTGTGAGGCTGGTTGGACATACTGCCAAATTCTCTAAAACAACGTTGGAGGCGTCTTACGGTGGAGAAATTAACTTTAATTCTCTGGCAACAACTCTGGTGGGCATTCCTGCAGTCAACATGCCAATTGCACTCTCCCTCAAAATTTGAGTCATCTATGGCATTGTGTGGTGTTACAAAATTGCACATTTTAGAGTGGCTTTCTATTGTCCCGAGCACAACGTGCACCTGTGTAATGATCATGCTATTTAATCAGCTTCTTGATATGCCACACTTGTCAGGTGGATGGATTATCTTGGCAAAAGATAAATGCTCACTAACAGGGATGTAAACAAATTTGTACACAACATTTGAGAGAAATAAGCTTTTTGTGCGTATGGAAAATTGATGGGATCTTCTATTTCTGCACATGAAACATGGTACCAACACTTTACATGTTGCGTTTATATTTTTGTTCAGTGTACTTAATACAATGTAAAAGGACCATCTCTATTGACATGAAAACATCTGCCATGAGCTTTGATGTTTAACACGTTTAATTATGCACCCTGTGTATGCACCATTGAAATGAGTACACAAGATCAATATTTGAACTTGGGTCCGGTCACATAACAGGAACAGCAGAGGAGGCCACCAGAGACATGGAAACATGACAAAAAGGCTGCTCATAAAATGGGACACCAATCAGTTTTTCCATAGAGAATGACATTCATCATACATTTATAGACGATCAAAATATATATAAAATGTTAATGCCTCACCACACTGTAGATGGGAGTCTGGGACTGGAGGGCAGCTCAGGGTAAGCCAGTCAACAGCATCCCAGCGCACCTCATCCCCCTCTGTGCAGCTCAGGTCCGATACCTGTTCAGGGGTGCGTGCCTGCCCCCACATGCGGAACAGAGAAACTCTCCCATTGAGGTTGGTACCGTTTTTCACACGCATCTCCCCTTGGATGAAGTAGTGGGAGACGCCCAGGGTGAGCGTGCCGTGGGGGGCCAGCCTGCAGCAGGAAGGGGACAGGGGGGATTCCTTAGCATGGGCTGTAACATCCACAATGGTCCCATTGACATAGAGGGCTGGCTGGTGAGATGCCCCAGACCAGGTTATACAGATGTAGTGCCAGTGGCCCAGGGGGAGGTGGAGGGGGGCTGACCACCTCACCCCAAACAGCCAGGTGTGGACCAGGCCCTCCTGACCAGCCAGGCCCAGCTCAGCCTGCAGCCCGTTAGGGTGGCGATACATGAAGGCTGTCCAGGCCGGTGTGCTGATGTGCTGCTGAAGGTGGACACACACGCTGAGCTCCTCCAGGGCAGGGATGGAGAGGTCTGGACTCAGCTGCCAGTAGCTGCACTCCGCTGTGAAGTCGGCCATCTTCCCCCACAAGCTCACACTGGAACATTCTGGTATACACAGGGTATATGGACCACTGTCAACAGGCACTTTTGATTTTGTTAGTCGTACTTATCTTCTACACTGTGTGTACAAAACATTAGGAACACCTTCCTAATATTGAGTTGCACCCCTTTTTTGCCCTCAGAACAGCCTCAATTCGTCGGGGCATGGACTCTACAAGGTGTCAAAGGCATTCCACAGGGATGCTGGCCCATGTTGACTCCAATGCTTCCCACAGTTGTGTCAAGTTGGCTGGATGTCCTTTGGGTGGTGGACCTTTCTTGATACACACAGGAAAAACCCAGCAGCGTTGCATTTCTTGACACACTCAAACCGGTGCGCCTGGCACCTACTACCATACCCCGTTTAAAGGCACTTAAATATTTTGTCTTGCCCATTCACCCTCTGAATGGCACACATACACAATCCATGTCTCAATTGTCTCAAGGCTTAAAAATCCTTCTTTATCCTGTCTTCTCCCCTTCATCTACACTGATTGAAGTGAATTTTACAAGTGACATCAATAAGGGATTATACTATAGGCGTTCACCTGGATTCACCTGGTCAGTTTATGTCATGGAAAGAGCAGGTGTTCCTAATATTTTGTCTACCCAGTGTATATATCCATTATTAACTTACACATCTTACAGATACAGTGTTTCTCAGAGAATTGCCTACGTATGCCGTGTTATTGATCAGTTGCGTGTGTTATTGAGTGCTGAGTGCTGAGTGCTGAGTGCTGAGTGCTGAGTGCTGAGTGCTGAGTGCTGTGCAGTGCTGTGGCCAGCTGCTAACCTGGATCCTGGGGAGAGCCACAGCTTAGTAGAGACAGGCTGAGAAGGAGGAGTTTCTTACTAAACTTCATCCCAGCTCTGAAAGAAACATAAAAAAGAATAAGACCTGTTCTCAAGCTTTTACTCTGGTGTTTTATATATCTTTAAAATGTCATCTTTGAAGATAGTATTTTGTAGAACAAAATGTCGTTTTGTGTAATTTTCTATCAATCATTGTACAAGCTTTACATTTGGGCAAACACTTTACAAAGGGCAGTTGTCTAAGCTACTATTATCCAACACAGTACAATATCTAAGCAAATGTAGCTACCCAATTGCACTGTGTTCATGTGTTTGCATATTTTCTTTCTATTATATTGCTTTCACAGCAAAAGCCTTTATAGTCCTTTGAGGGACGGTTTAATTTAACTCAACATGAGGACTGACAATATTTACAGTAATGAACATCTATAATAATCATAACAGAATTATGGACGATCATAAAAGATGACATAAAGATGAAAATGAAATTGATATTCTAAACGGACAATAGAGTTCAAAACATCTTTTACATCATACTGTATGAAGCATCCACTAAATAAAATAAGAATAGATAATAGATTTGTCACTTTACACATTAACGCTGTGTAAACCATTGTCTTGAATTCGACAAAAATGTATGTTTAATCACAAATAATTGTGCAAATACTGAGAGATTTGGTCAATATCATTAAAGTACATTTGAAAAGGTCAATAATATAAATGGTAAATTGACTTACCAAATAAACAGGCAGCTATCTGACTGCAGAGGGTACTGGTATATAGTTGCCTATTGTATGGCCGTTATTAACCATCGTATCTATCCCTGAATGGATGGATGAGACCAGTGGTGTTTTCTAGTGTCAGTGAAACCTGTAGGCGTACACACACTGAAAACCCCTACCTGACTGTCGCTCCACCCACCCTCGCCTAGTCCCTCTTTTTTTTATATGCTGTGACAGTGAATCGGCCTTTAGGGTATGAGATCTTCTCTTTCCTAGATTACTGCTCTTCCAAGCTTAAAATTAATGGATGTTTGTTACCTTTTCAATCTCTTGGTGTTGATCTCATACAAACTGTACAGTGAAATGTCTGTGTTACTGGATAAATGAGACAGGTGTCCATTGGTCTGAGATTTTGCAATTTTATTTGAATAAGGATGTTTTACCCAGTTATACTGAACCCAATATATGACAATTCAATGTAATTACAACCATCATGACAAAATTAACCAGAGTCCTTCCCAATGCTTGGGAACACAGAAAAAGGAAAATTACACAACTTTGTGGAAATATATTGGTTTATTCCTGATTACAGACCCACAAATGCAACACACCAAACATGCAGTTCATTATATTGGATATCCATATATTTCCATTGCCTTTGTGCACAGTAAGTGCTTATAATTACCCATCACAATAGCTATTAGCTAAGCAATCACTATGGGACACTGTTTTTCCCTTTAAAACCTTTGAATAATCAGTTACAGTTATGATGTTCCCCAGGGTTGAAATGTCTCCTATAGAATATGACCCCAATCTTTAGGAAGATACTTGATTACCCCAATGAATCCACAGATTTTCATCAAAATATTTGTATCCCTCGCTATCGCTGTAAAATGTAAAGTAAAACAATTGCTTTCAGCTTCACAACCTGAAAAGCTGGCATGGCAGACCCACTGTTTCTGTTTCAAGTTCAGCTCAGACCTTCTTGGCACAGTCAGAGCAGAAGATGTCCCCTCCGTTGGCCACAAATCGCTTGTTAGCCAGGCTCAGGGAACACTTCTTGCAGTTGAAGCAGTACTCATGCCAGGAGTTGCCGTCATAGTTCACCACATTGGTGGCTTTGCCGAAACCTGGAGGGGACAGAGAATAAACAACAAACAATGACAAATGTGTACAATCCTTCAATAGGTGCATTAGAGTGTGTGTGTGTGCATGTGTGTGTGTATGTGTGTGTTTGCGTGCGCAGCATACGTGCACTTTTGTGTGTGTGTGTGTGCATGTATTGACCTGTAATGGGGTTCTGGCAGCCGCTGCATTTCTTGGCTACAGTAGTCTTGTAGCAGTCCACACAGAAAGCCTTCTCCTCATGGGAGGTGAAGCGGGTCCCAGCCAGAGGCTTCCGGCAGGAGTTGCAGACAAAACATTCTGAGTGCATTGGCTGCTCCTGGTAGTTCACTCCCCCGGAGGTGATGGCCTAGACAGGGGTCAGCAGAGAGTCAAGTCAGTTTAGAGGGGAATCCTCATGTCATTTATACAGTTGATTTCAAATCAACCACTTTGGTCCAATTGGCTTATTGAAAATGGACATCCATCAATGATATCCAAGAATTTTGAGCTCATTGAAAAAAGTTAATATTTATGTTACCTGCTTACAGCTGACACAGGTCTTTGCAAACTTCTTCTCATGGCAAGGGCCACAGTAGATGTCAGTGCCTTTGGTCAGGAAGCTTTGGGAGCGGATGGGTTTTTTACACTGGTAACAGGTGAAGCAGTCCTCATGCCACACATTGCCTTTATACTCCACATTCTCAGAGCCTTTATGAAATAAATAAACTCACATCAGTCTCTATGATAGTTTAAAGGGGCAATCTGCAATTGGTACATACATATTTTTTTTAAATTAATGATATAGAGTACCAGTCAAATGTTTGGACACACCTACTCATTCAAGTTTTTATTTTATTTTTAATTTGTACTATTTTCTACATTATCGAATAATAGTGAAGACATCAAAACTATGAAATAACACATATGGAATCATGTAGTAACAACAAAAAAAAAAATATATTTGAGATTCTAGCCACCCTTTGCCTTGATGACAGCTTTGCAAACTCTTGGCATTCTCTCAACCAGCTTCACCTGGAATGCTTTTCCCTTGAATGAGTAGGTGTGTCCAAACCTTTGACTGGTAGTGTATATGCCCATTGATTCTTGAAAAATATTACTTGTAAATGCCTTATGAGCTTAGTTTAACTGTGGTACCCTATCAGAACCCAAAATACAAGCTTGTTTTACTCCATTGGTTGTAAATAATGTAATTGTAAACAAATACTGAATAGCCTCAAAACATCAATTTTATGGATGGTCAGTCATTCCATCTATAGCTCTGTCTATGCATTTGAAAGTGGTTAGATTTCTCCAGCCCCAACCCTCAGCTATTTATCAAAACAGTGGTGGGGTGTCCACTTTGTTATTGTTTGAACTGCAGATTGCCACCTAACTGAAATTTAGGAAAGTGTTTACTAATTACATCTAAGTTCACACGATGGAGAGCATCTCAGAAATTAATCATACAGAGGGTATAAATATCCCTAGCTTAATTTCATGTCAACACAAATCAGTGAGTCTTGGCACATAGTGTCCCTTACCGGCTAGAATGGCTTTGTAGCAGGCGTGACAACGAGGGGCATCCTCTCGGGAGCTGCACTTCCCACACATTATGCGGTCATCCTTAGCACTGAAGGACTCCTTGGCTAATGGCTTGTAGCACTTGTAGCAGCGAAAGCAGTCTGCGTGCCAATAACGGCCTTTATGTTGCAACTCCTGAAGGAAGGAAAGGAGGAAGGAAGGGAGGGAGGACGGAAGGGAGGAAGGAAGGGAGGACGGAAGGGAGGAAGGAAGGGAGGACGGAGGGCAGATAGAAGAAGGGAAAGGAGGAGGGAAAGAAAGTCAATGTTTTCAAATCAAATCAAATGTTATTGGTTGTGTACACATATTTTGCAGATGTTATCACGGGTGTAGTGAAATGCTTATGTTCCTAGCTCCAACAGTGCAGTAATATCTAACAATACAAAACGTTCCCACGGGGGGCCAGTATGAAAAAAAATGTATGCACTCACTAACTGTAAGTCGCTCTGGATAAGAGTGTCGGCTAAATGACTAAAATGTAAATGTAAAACAATAAACACAAATCCCCAAAATAAAAAGAAATGAATTAAGAAATAAAAATATATTACAACGAGCAATGTCAGAGTCCAGAATATAAATATATATGTAAAGTAACAGTCAAAAGTTTGGACACACGCCATTTTGCTCCTCCCTTCCTATAGGCAGAAACTCAAACAGGAAGTACCTGTGCTAAGGACTTTTCAACGCTGGTCTGACCAATCGGAATGCACGCTTCAAGATTGTTTTGATCATGCGGACTGGGATATGTTCCGGGTAGCTTGCGAAAATAATTTAGACGAATACACTGAAACGGTGACTGAGTTTATCAGGAAGTGTGTAGGAGATGATGTGCCCACTGTGACTATTAAAACCTACCCTAACCAGAAACCGTGGATACATTTACATTTAACATTTTAGTCATTTAGCAGACGCTCTTATCCAGAGTGACTTACAGTTAGTGAGTGCATACATTTTTCTTCTTCATACTGGTCCCCCGTGGGAATCGAACCCACAACCCTGGCGTTGCAAGCACCATGCTCTACCAACTGAGCTACACGGGATTATACATGTGAATGTGCATGTCTCTGCACTTATATTGATGGGAAAGTATAATACTAGATTATAGATGGCAGCATTCGCGCAAAACTGAAAGCGCGAACCACCGCATTCAACCATGGCAAGGTGACTGGGAATATGGCAGAATACAAACAGTGTAGCTACTCACTCCGCAAGTCAATTAAACTGGCAAAACATCAGTATAGAGACAAAGTGGAGTCGCAATTCAACGGCTCAGACACGAGACGTATGTGGCAGGGTCTACAGACAATCACGGATTACAAAAGGAAAACCAGCCACGTCGCCGACACCGACGTCTCGCTTCCAGACAAGCTAAACACCTTCTTCGCACGCTATGAGGATAACACAGTGCCACCGACGAGGCCCACTACCAAGGACTGTGGCCTCTCCTTCTCTGTGGCCGACGTGAGTAAGACATTTAAGCATGTTAACCCCCGCAAGGCTGCCGGCCCAGACGGCATCCCTAGCGGTGTCCTCAGAGCATGCCCAGACCAGCTGGCTGGTGTGTTTACGGACATATTCAATCTCTCCCTTTCCCAGTCTGCTGTTCCCACATGCTTCAAGATGGCCACCGTTGTTCCTGTACCCAAGAAAGCAAAGGTAACTGAACTAAATTACTATCTCCCCGTATCATAAAGTGCTTTGAGACTAGTCAAGGATCATATCACCTCTACCTTACCTGTCACCCTAGACCCACTTCAATTTGCTTACCGCCCCAATAGATCCACAGATGACGCAATCGCCATCACACTGCACACTGCCCTATCCCTTCTGGACAAGAGGAATACCTATGTAAGAATGCTGTTCATTGACTATATCTTTAACACCATAGTACCCTCCAAGCTCATCATTAAGCTCGAGGCCCCTGGGTCTGAACCCTGCCCTGTGCAACTGGGTCCTGGACTTCCTGATGGGCCGCCACCCAGGTGGTGAAGGTAGGAAACAACATCTCCACTTTGCTGATACTCAACACTGGGGCCCCACAAGGGTGCGTGCTCAGCCCCCTCCTGTACTCCCTGTTCACCCATGACTGCGTGGCCAAGCACGCCTACAACTCAATGATCAAGTTTGCAGACAACACAACAGTAGTAGGCTTGATTACCAACAATGACGAGACCTTCTACGGGGAGGAGGTGAGGGCTCTGGGAGTGTGGTGCCAGGAAAATAACCTCTCACTCAACGTCAACAAAACAAAGGAGATGATCGTGGACTTCAGGAAACAGCAGAGGGTGCACCCCCCTATCCACATCGACGGGACCGCAGTGGAGAAGGTGGAAAGCTTCAAGTTCATTGGTGTACACATCACTGACAAACTGAAATGGTCCACCCACGCAGACAGTGTGGTGAAGAAGGCGCAACAGAGCCTCTTCAACCTCAGGAGCCTGAAGAAATTTGGCTTGGCGCCTAAAACCCTCACAATCTTTTACAGATGCACAATTGAGAGCATCCTGTCGGGCTGTATCACCGCCTGGTACATCAACTGCACCGTCCACAACCGCAGTGCTCTCCAGAGGGTGGTGCGGTCTGCCGAACGCATTACCGGGGGGCAAACTACCCGCCCTCCAAGACACCTACAGCACCCGATGTCACAGGAAGGCCAAAAAGATCATCAAGGACATCAACCACCCGAGCCACTGCCTGTTCACCCCGCTATCATCCAGAAGGCGAGGTCAGTACAGGTGCATCAAAGCTGGGACGGAGAGAATGAAAAACAGCTTCTATCTCAAGGCCATCAGACTGTTAAATAGCCATCACTAGCACATTAGAGGCTGCTGCTGCCTATTGAAATCACCAGCCACTTTAAGAAATGGAACACTAGTCACTTTAATAATGTTTATATATCTTGCACTACTCATCTCATATGTATATACTGGATTCAATTCTATAATATTCTACTGTATCTTAGTCCATGCCGCTCTGTCATTGCTTGTCCATATATGTATATATTTTTAAATTCCATTCCTTACTAGATTTGTGTGTATTGGGTATATGTTGTGAAATTGTTAGATATTACTTGTTAGATATTACTGCACTGTCGGAGCTAGAAGCACAAGCATTTCACTACACCCACAATAACATCTGCTAAACACGTGTATGTGACAAATACAATTTGATTTGATTTTATTTGTTTTGAGATAGAAGCTGTTTATCAGTCTCTCAGTCCCAGCTTTGATGCACCTGTGAACATGCCGTGAACAGGCCATGGCTCGGGTGGCTGAGGTCCTTGATGATTTTCTTGGCCTTCCTGGGACACCGGGTGCTGTAGATGTCCTGGAGGGCAGGCAGTGTGCCCCCGGTGATGTGTTGGGCTGACCGCACCACCCTCTGGAGAGCTCTTCGATTGCGGACGGTGCAGTTGCCGTACCAGGCAGTGACACGGCGCGACAATGGTGCATCTGTAGAAGTTCATGAGGGCCTTAGGGGCCCTTACCTCCTCCCCGTAGGCTGTCTTGTCATTGTTGGTATCAGGCCTAGCACTGTTGTGTCATCTGCAAACTTAATGATTGAGTGGCCACGCAGTCATGGGTGAACAGGGAGTACAGGAGGGGGCTGAGCACGCACCCTTGTTGGGCGTTTAGCTTGTCCGGGAGAAAGGCGTCGGTGTCCGCGACATAGCTGGTTTTCCCTTTATAATCTGTGATTGTCTGGAGTCCCTGCCACATACGTCTCGTGTCTGAGCCGTTGAATTGTGACTCCACTTTGTCTCTGTACTGACGCTTTGCCTGTTTGATTTCCTTACGGAGGGCATAGCTGGACTGTTTGTACTCGTCCATGTTCCCAGTCACCTTGCCGCGGTTAAATGCGGTGGTTCGCGCTTTCAGTTTTGCTCAAATGCTGCAATCTATCCATGGTTTTTGGTTTGGATAAGTTCTAACCATCACAGTGGGAACAACATCCTCTATACTCTTCCTGATGAACTCAGTCACAGAGTCAGGTTATACGTCAATGTTATTCTCAGAAGCAACTCGGAACACATCCCAGTCCGTGTGATCAAAACAATCTTGAAGCATAGATTCCATTGGTCAGACCAACGTTGAACAGTGCTTACCACGGGTACTTCCTGTTTAAGTTTCTGTCTATAGGAAGGGAGGAGCAGAATGGATTTCTTCCTCACAGTGTGCACTCATAAACACATCTAGACAGACAGTCCGCAGTCATGAAAACACATTCCATTTACATTTTACATGCTGACAGTTTGCAGGTATAGACAGACCCATATGGAAACATAAGAAAATCACAACACATGTAATATGTAATATACGTTTCATGCAAGTATATTAATCATGGGAGGTGTCACTGAACACACACACACCTTGGAGTCGATGCCAATAGGACGTCGGCACTCAGTGCAGTTGTTGGCACAGAACTTGTCATGGCATCGGACACAGACAGGCTTCTCCTCCTGTTTAACATACTTCTTCCCACTCAGGTCCTCCCGGCAGTATTTGCAGTTCATACTGTCCGTCATGGCAACATCAGCAGCAGGGTAGCAAACACCTGGAAAACACATGTGTAGAGGACATACTGAGCTATAGCTCTGTTTATCACAAGTGGTATGTTTCAGGAACTATTGTCAGAATAAAATGGTGTAACTTTAAGTCCTGCAGAGTACACAAATACAATTGAAAGCTATCAGATGTGGTAGTGACTGGGTTTACATTACTTGGGCACTTGCATTACTTCTTATTGCCACAGATGGACAGCGTAGTTCTAGTGGTGTAGCTATAACAATATGAAGGAATGAAAATGAACTGAGAGAGACGGAACACTATTCAATCAAAACCTGTACTCCGTTCCCAGGGAAACCATGATGTAATATTTACTGAGGTGTTGATAAGATTCTATTTGTTCCACATCTTTTAACAAGGAAGAACATTTAACTGTTATGGAGCCCGGTTGCTTTGTTGTGTAATCACAGCAAACAAAAGGTATACTGTGCCTGTTCCTCACATTACGCTTATCTTCAGCTGATATGACAGGCAGTGATGTTGTAAAATTGACAATCAACTGTTGAAAGGACATAAAAAGATCTGGAGCAAATCCCTGCCATAGATCACAAATAGATCCTTGATTGTAGGGTTAGGATGACAGAAAGTAAATTAAATCCATATGAAAAATGAGTGGAACCTAAAGAACGGAGACTGATTATAGCCTACACAAACCTTTTTACTATATCAGCATGTCCTTGTGCATGTGCTAGGTGTGAGTGCGTATGTTTGTGTGTGAACATGCGTGCGTTCGTGCGTGCATGTGTGTGAACGGTATGTATGTTTGTGCAGTGAGGTGTACACATGAAGGAATGCCTGGTATGAATGTGGTGAGATCTGGAATGTTGACACAGCTCTTTGACAGACCCGGTGAGCGTCCCCTCCCTTTGGACCCCCTATGTGAAGCAGAAGAGGTACTAAGGACCCGCAGCATACAAAAACTAGACTCTTACGTTAATCTGTTACAATGTGTATGGGTATTCCATTGCTGCTATGACAGAAATATACACGTTTAATACAACAAAATCCATATACTGTATGCAAACACTTACAATAAAGAAACCTTGGTGTCTGAAAAAACAAAAATCATGTTAATGTTGTTGTTGTACGTGCAGTGTGAAGCCATCAGAACCCAGGGAATGTCTGCCACTGCCTCAGACCTGACCACAGACTGAAACAGCCTGGCCCTTTTCACTGCACTAGCATACACACACACATTTCACACAGTGACATGTTACTACAGTCTGAATGCACAAACCAAATTGGAGCTCATTCATGTTACATGTTGTCTCTACCTATCTTTCCTACCATCTCCTCATCTCCCGTAGTAACCTGTAAAAGACTAACACATTACTTATGTACATGAGTAAACCAAACATTTTCCATAATCGAATTGATCTTCTGTTGAGTTGACAGCCGAGGCCAACCCACACCTTCTCTGTCTTTTAGCTTCTTCCCTTCATCTGTTGAAATCGTTCTTTTCCCCCTTCTATTCCACCCCCCTCTCTCTTGCTCTCTCTCTCTTTCTTATCCACATTTTCCCCTCCTCTTATGTTGCTTTTATCCCCCCCCCAAAGGAGAACTGGCATCTATGCTAAGGTATGACCAAAGAGAACATTGAAATGAAAGAAGTCAATGACTTTTCTTTATCTCTGAGTGAGCCACTCACACCATTATCAGTAGCTGGTGGTTTGGCCCTCAGAGGTAACTTTAGCTACTCTCAGAACAATGACTGCCATTCATAGGCTAGCCTTTCTTCTCTGTGCTCCATGTTATCATCATCGGTTTCTGATCATTACTCTACAAATACAGACATGTATACACAGGAACTTAACAATGACTCTGACGATGACGTCAGAGGTGAGCAAACATTTTTTATCTGAATTTATCTGATCTCCATGGAAACGATAACAGTTATTGGTAAACAGAGAGGTAGAGTCTTGCTTCTCTGACATCTCATGCCAGCAACTGAAGCCCAGTTGGGTGTGTGTGGAGGGCTACAGCCAATTTAAACAGTCCTGGCGCTGTTTCCCCGGAGCAGAGAGGGGACACGGCAGAACCAGAGTATCTGTGGCCAGGGCTCTCTCAGCAGAGGATATGCTGTGGTTGGCTAGCCATATACTTCCTTGTGGCCTCTCTCTCTATAGTAAAGTTGTTTTTATCCCTCTGGCCATGGAAAAGGGCTTGGTGCTTTACCTCACCCTAACCAGTGGCAGAGATCAGGGAGACCTAATTCGAATTGGGACCATGACATCATCTTGTGGTTAAAACAGCTGTTAGACACATGCACACATACACACAAACAAACAAACACACACACACACACACACACACACAGACAAGACAATTTAGCAGCTAGGGAAGCATTGTGGGGTTCTAATGCTGGTATATTGGCATGAGCTAATAACTAAAGAATGTGGAGGAAAGCTGAGAAACAGGAAGTCTGGTAGACTGGTGGCACAGTCTGCTTCGAGCTGTCAACAGTCTGCAAAAACTGCTTAACTATTCTCAGAAACTGCCTATAGTCTAGTTCACACACAAATACAGCAATACACTTTTACTAGACATGAGCCAGATGTCTATCAACAGCTCACTGACACCAACCAACATGGGCCTTTTACAACGGGCTCTGTATGGCATCTGTGTGAGTCATACCTTATGATCACTTTCACAGATACTTGTAAAAAGGTTGAAAGTACCAAAGAGGACAAAACAGGCAATGTATGTCCCCCCCTCCCCTCTCTCTCTCTCTCTCTCTCTCTCTCTCTCTCTCTCTCTCTCTCTCTCTCTCTCTCTCTCTCTCTCTCTCTCTCTCTCTCTCTCTCTCTCTCACTCTCACTCTCTTGCTCTCTCTCATTACCTCATTCCCTAAAGAGCTCACCTGAACTCAGTAACTGAGAAGTTAGGTTGAACAGAAAAGAGCAGACACAAAAAAAGCTAACAAAACCTGGGGTTACTTGCATAACCCTGGTTCTATGATAAAATGAGTGAGATGTCTCACAATGGGATTCACTCAGTGGATCACTTACAGCTCGAAGAACGAATCACACAATGTCTGTTGGAGACAGACAGGGTGAGTGCCGAATGAGGTGAGCCCCTCTCCTCCTAATAAGGCGCCACTCGCCCACCCACTGGTCATTCTCAAGCATGCCTCTGTTCCTTGCACACTTTCGAGCATGGAAATGCGGTGAGACATCTACTCATATTATTATAGAACCAGTTCTATTTCAAATACTAGTTTCAATCTCACAATGGGATATGGCTAACTCCCGTATCGCAGACATGCTCTCCGAAGCCAGGGTAGTCCCAACAGCATCACCACTCAGAGGCCCCGACACTGGGGACAGTATGCACCAACAAAGGTGCAGTGACATCCAGTCTGTAAAACCTCCCGAATGTATGAAGGGTGGCACAACATGCCGCCTCGCAAATCTCTTGTGCCCAAGAACCATACCTCTAGGGGGCTGGCCCTCTGGGGGCTGTAAACCCTTATAATAAGCCAATATAATAGCCTCCACTATCCAATGGATAGCCGTTGACGAGAGAGGGGCCCACCCTTGCAGGTGGGCGCCGAAGACATGAGGAGTTGGTCACTCTTATGCCATGCTCTCATTATGATGCACAAAGGACGTACTGGACATAAACTTCTTCTTCCGTAGAAGTGAAGGACGGTGGGTGGAAAGGTTACATCCCTTTGTAATATATATACGTGTTTGTTTTGGGCTTCGTCCCCATCGTTTTTTTCATGCGAACCTTGTGTTGGGTGAAGTAAATAAAACCCCTAATACGTATTCCTGCGCATGTCTTCTAATCATTATACAACGTGACACAATACATTATCTACCATTCATTTCTATTGGGCACAAAATAATCTGAAACATTTAAATTTTAGTCATTTAGCAGATGCTCTTATCCAGAGCAATTTACAGTAGTGTGTGAATACATTTTCACACTTTTTCATACAACCAAAACAATGTAGAGTCACAACCTTGATGTAATCATTGTGTGATAGGAATATGGGACCAAATACTACACTTTTGACTACTTTACTACACATACAGTGGCTTGCGAAAGTATTCACCCCCCATGGCATTTTTCCTTACAACCTGGAATTAAAATGGATTATTTGGGGGTTTGTATCATTTGATTTACACAACATGCCTACCAATTGAAGATGCAAAATATTTTTAATTGTGAAACAAACAAGAAATAAGACAAAAAAACAGAAAACTTCAGCGTGCATAACTATTCACCCCGTCTCTATAAGCTTGGCACATCTAGCCACTGGGGGTTTTTGCCCATTCTTCAAGGCAAAATTGCTCCATCTCCTTCAAGTTGGATGGGTTCCGCTGGTGTACAGCAATCTTTAAGTCATACCACACATTCTCAATTGGATTGAGGTCTGGGGTTTGACTAGGCCATTCCAATAAATTTAAATGTTTCCCCTTAAACCACTGAAGTGTTGCTTTAGCAGTATGCTTAGGGTCATTATCCTGCTGGAAGGTGAACCTCCGTCCCAGTCTCAAATCTCTGGAAGACTGAAACAGGTTTCCCTCAAGAATTTCACTGTATTTAGCGCCATCTATCATTCCTTCAATTCTGACCAGTTTCCCAGTCCCTGCCGATGAAAAACATCCCCGCAGCATGATGCTGCCACCACCATGCTTCACTGTGGGGATGGTGTTCTCGGGGTGATGAGAGGTGTTGGGTTTGCGCCAGACATAGCGTTTTCCTTGATGGCCAAAAAGCTAAATTTTAGTATCATCTGACCAGAGTACCTTCTTCCATATGTCTGGGGAGTCTCCCACATGCCTTTTGGTGAACACCAAACGTTTTTGCTTATTTTTTTCTTTAAGCAATGGCTTTTTTCTGGCCACTCTTCTGTAAAGCCCAGCTCTGTGGAGTGTATGGCTTAAAGTGGTCCTATGGACAGATACTCCCATCTCCACTGTGGAGCTTTGCAGCTCCTTCAGTGTCATCTTTGGTCTCTTTGTTGCCTCTCTGATTAATGCCCTCCTTGCCTGGTCTGTAAGTTTTGGTGGGCGGCCCTCTCTTGGCAGGTTTGTTGTGGTGCCATATTCTTTCCATTTTTTAATAAGGGATTTAGTGGTGCTCCGTGGGATGTTCAAAGATTCTGATATTTATTTATAACCCAACCCTGATCTGTACTTCTGCACACAGGTGGACTTTATTTAACTAATTATGTGACTTCTGAAGGTAATTGGTTGCACCAGATCTTATTTTGGGGGTGAATACATATGCACGCACCACTTTTCCGTTAATTATTTTTTAGAATTTCTGTAACAAGTTATTTTTTTCATTTCACTTCAACAATTTGGACTATTTTGTGTATGTCCATTACATGAAATCCAAATAAAAATCCATTTCAATTACAGGTTGTAATGCAACAAAATAGGAAAAACGCCAAGGGGGATGAATACTTTTGCAAGGCACTGTAAGTGAATTTGTCCCAATACTTTTGGTCCCCTAAAATGGGGGGAATATGTACAAAAAGTGCTGTAATGTCTGAACGGTTCACCCGATATGGATGAAAATACCCTCAAATTAAAGCTGACAGTCTACACTTTATCATTTCAAATCCAAAGTGCTGGAGTACAGAGCCAAAACAACAAAACATGTGTCACTGTCCCAATACTTTTGGAGCTCATTGTATGTAAAGACATAGGTGTCAAGATCTTTGGGATATACTGCCTAACACTTTACAGGATGGATAATAGACAGCTTTATATTGCAGCCATACAGAAATATGAGCAAATTAAGATTTTATGGAGCACTGAGCTCATAGTAATTAATTTTCTGCATGCGACCTCTTTATAGCTCTCAGCGGGAAAGATGCTGAAAGAAGCTCTCTGGGCCAACATCTGTCCAATAGCACAATTGGACTCAACGCACAGGAAAAGGTGAAACCTTGCGCGCAGGGGAAGGGGGTGAGAGAAGGAGTGAGAGAGAGAGAGAAATCGAGAGCGCGCGCGAGAGAGAGAGAGGGGGGGGGGGGGGTGTAAAATATAACAGGACAGGAATTGTAATTTATCTTGGTGATGCATTTTTCTGCCATCACATGCCTCAGTCCCAGAGGTCCATCCCTACACTGAAAAATCTTAATAAGAAACAGATTTTGGAGGAAGATTTGCAGAAGTCAGCATGTTGCATATTATATTATAGCCAACGCCCCAACCAACTCAAAACATTATTGCAAATAGCCTTACAGTATTTATTTACGTCTCTAATTGTTTCAAAGGAAATATAATTCGGTGTTTAAAGAAAGATGACGATCTATTAAAGCTGGCATATACTTAATATTAACGCTGGTGGTTTAACTGAAGTCTCCAGTTTGCAATGTAATCATCATGGACCCAATTCATGTGCAGAAAACTATTAATAATAGGATGGTTAAAATGGTGTATGTATTGCTGATTCTAGAATAAAAGACAGACATGAAATGCAGAAGTCGAATATGCAAATCAGCAACAATATCAGTCAATATTGCCATATTGTATTATATGGACTGACTAACTGTACATTCGTGTTTACATAGCTTTTACATTCACAATTTACTCGAAAAACATGCATACAAAGAGTTTCTAATGTCCTTGTATTAATCAATAACGTCAAGATTCAGATCTGTCCATGCAACTTACCAAGTTCAAATCAAGTTATGTGGGACGCGCACGAACTCCCTGATCTGCACAAGCGCCAGTTCTTCTGCACAGGATATAGCCTACTGCTGTATAAGGGACGTACAAAAACGCAAACCACTCCCGAGGCAGGATATCGGGTAATAAATCATGACAGGATATGACTGCCTTCGAATAAACGCAAAAGTACTGTATTTCCATGCAGAACATATTGGCCAAGTCTTCAGGAAATGGTTGAATGAACAATTTTCCTACTTATTGGTCTGAAATTTTGATTGATCTGTCTTTTTAAATGTAGCACTATTCTTTACACAATTGTTTTAAACTGAAAGGAAGTGTAGCCTATGTTATGGGTTTTCAAACTGGGGTCCACTGAGGTACTGCAGGGGGTCTGCGATTTTCAGATTTTTTTAAATAAAAAAAATAATTATTTTATGAATAACGCTAGCTGCAACAGAATACCATCATGGATACCCTTTGTATGTCTCTGCATCCAGTATGAAAGAAGTTAGAGGTAGTTTGACTAGCCAATGCTAACTAGAGTTAGCACAATGACTGGAAGTTAGCATGCTAGCTGTTCCTGTTCTGGAAATAATTTAAACGAATACACTGAAACTGTGAGTGAGTTTATCAGGAAGTGTATCACATTGTAGGATTTTTAATGAATTTAATTGCAAATGATGGTGGAAAATAAGTATTTGGTCACCTACAAACAAGCAAGATTTCTGGCTCTCACAGACCTGTAACTTCTTCTTTAAGAGGCTCCTCTGTCCTCCACTCGTTACCTGTATTAATGGCACCTGTTTGAACTTGTTATCAGTATAAAAGACACCTGTCCACAACCTCAAACAGTCACACTACCAACTCCACTATGGCCAAGACCAAAGAGCTGTCAAAGGACACCAGAAACAAAATTGTAGACCTGCACCAGGCTGGGAAGACTGAATCTGCAATAGGTAAGCAGCTTGGTTTGAATAAATCAACTGTGGGAGCAATTATTAGGAAATGGAAGACATACAAGACCACTGATAATCTCCCTCGATCTGGGGCGCCACGCAAGATCTCACCCCATGGGGTCAAAATAATCACAAGAACGGTGAGCAAAAATCCCAGAACCACACGGGGGGACCTAGTGAATGACCTGCAGAGAGCTGGGACCAAAGTAACAAAGCCTACCATCAGTAACACACTACGCCGCCAGGGACTCAAATCCTGCAGTGCAGACGTGTCCCCCTGCTTAAGCCAGTACATGTCCAGGCCCATCTGAAGTTTGCTAGAGTGCATTTGGATGATCCAGAAGAGGATTGGGAGAATGTCATATGGTCAGATGAAACCAAAATATAACTTTTTGGTAAAAACTCAACTTGTCGTGTTTGGAGGATAAAGAATGCTGAGTTGCATCCATACCTACTGTGATGCATGGGGGTGGAAACATCATGCTTTGGGGCTGTTTTTCTGCAAAGGGACCAGGACGACTGATCCGTGTAAAGGAAAGAATGAATGGGGCCATGTATCGTGAGATTTTGAGTGAAAACCTCCTTCCATCAGCAAGGGCATTGAAGATGAAACGTGGCTGGGTCTTTCAGCATGACAATGATCCCAAACACACCGCCCGGGCAACGAATGAGTGGCTTCGTAAGAAGCATTTCAAGGTCCTGGAGTGGCCTAGCCAGTCTCCAGATCTCAACCCCATAGAAAATCTTTGAGGGAGTTGAAAAGTCTGTGTTGCCCAGCGACAGCCCCAAAACATCACTGCTCTAGAGGAGATCTGCATGGAGGAATGGGCCAAAATACCAGCAACAGTGTGTGAAAACCTTGTGAAGACTTACAGAAAACGTTTGACCTGTGTCATTGCCAACAAAGGGTATATAACAAAGTATTGAGAAACTTTGTTATTGACAAATACTTATTTTCCACCATAATTTGCAAATAAATTCATAAGAAATCCTACAATGTGATTTTCTGGATTTTTTTTTCTCATTTTGTCTGTCATAGTTGACGTGTACCTATGAGGAAAATTACAGGCCTCTCTCATCTTTTTAAGTGGGAGAACTTGCACAATTGGTGGCTGACTAAATACTTTTTTTCCCCACTGTAGGTGATGTTGTGCCCACTGTGACTATTAAAACCTTCCCTAACCAAAAACCGTGGATAGATGGCAGCATTCGCGCTAATCTGAAAGTACAAACCACCGCATTCAACCATGGCAAGGTGACTGGGAATATGGCGGAATACAAACAGTGTAGCTACTCACTCCGCAAGGCAATTAAACTGGCAAAACATCAGTATAGAGACGAAGTGGAGTCGCAATTCAACGGCTCAGACACGAGACGTATGTGGCAGGGTCTACAGACAATCACGGATTACAAAAGGAAAACCAGCCATGTCGCCGACACCAACGTCTTGCTTCCGGACAAGCTAAACACCTTCTTCGCCCGCTTTGAGGATAACACCAAGGACTGTGGCCTCTCCTTCTCCGTGGCCGACTTGAGTAAGACATTTAAGCGTGTTAACCCTCGCAAGGCTGCCGGCCCAGATGGCATCCCTAGCCGCGTCCTCAGAGCATGCGCAGACCACCTGGCTGGTGTGTTTACGGACATATTCAATCTCTCCCTTTCCCAGTCTGCTGTTCCCACATGCTTCAAGATGGCCACCATTGTTCCTGTACCCAAGAAAGCAAAGGTAACTGAACTAAATGACTATCGCCCTGTAGCACTCACCTCAGTCATCATGAAGTGCTTTGAGAGACTAGTCAAGGATCATATCACCTCTACCTTACCTGTCACCCTAGACCCACTCCAATTTGCTTACCGCCCCAATAGATCCACAGACGATGCAATCGCCATCACACTGCACACTGCCCTATCGGATCTGGAAAAGAGGAATACCTATGTAAGAATGCTGTTCATTGACTATAGCTCAGCATTCAATACCATAGTACTCTCCAAGCTCATCATTAAGCTCGAGGCCCTGGGTCTGAACCCTGCCCTGTGCAACTGGGTCCTGGACTTCCTGACGGGCCTCCCCAAGGTGGTGAAGGTAGGAAACAACATCTCCAATTCGCTGATCGTCAACACTGGGGCCCCACAAGGGTGCGTGCTCAGCCCCCTCCTGTACTTCCTGTTCACCCATGACTGCGTGGCCAAGCACGCCTCCAACTCAATCATCAAGTTTGCAGACGACACAACAGTAGTAGGCTTGATTACCAACAATGACGAGACCGCCTACAGGGAGGAGGTGAGGGCTCTAGGAGTGTGGTGCTAGGAAACTAACCTCTCACTCAACATTAACAAAACAAAGGAGATGATTGTGGACTTCAGGAAACAGCAGAGGGTGCACCCCCCTATCCTCATCGACGGGACCGCAGTGGAGAGGGTGGAAAGCTTCAAGTTCCTTGGCGTACACATCACCGACAAACTGAAATGGTCCACCCACGCAGACAGTGTGGTGAAGAAGGTGCAACAGAGCCTCTTCAACCTCAGGAGGCTGAAGAAATTTGGCTTAGCACCTAAAACCCTCACAATCTTTTACAGATGCACAATTGAGAGCATCCTGTCAGGCTGTATCACCGCCTGGTACGGCAACTGCACCGCCCGCAACCGCAGGGCTCTGCAGAGGGTGGTGCGGTCTGCCGAACGCATTACCGGGGGCAAACTACCCGCCCTCCAAGACACATACAGCACCCGATGTCACAGGAAGGCCAAAAAGATCATCAAGGACATCAACCACCCGAGCCACTGCCTGTTCCCCCCGCTATCATCCAGAAGGCGAGGTCAGTACAGGTGCATCAAAGCTGGGACCGAGAGAATGAAAAACAGCTTCTATCTCAAGGCCATCAGACTGTTAAATAGCCATCACTAGCACATTAGAGGCTGCTGCTGCCTATTGAAATCACCGGCCACTTTAAGAAATGGAACACTAGTCACTTTAATAATGTTTATATATCTTGCACTACTCATCTCATATGTATATACTGGATTCTATTCTATAATATTCTACTGTATCTTAGTCCATGCCACTCTGTCATTGCTTGTCCATATATGTATATATTCTTAAATTCCATTCCTTACTAGATTTGTGTGTATTGGGTATATGTTGTGAAAATGTTAGATGATACTTGTTAGATATTACTGCACTGTCAGAGCTAGAAGCACAAGCATTTCGCTACACCCGCTATAACATCTGCTAAACACGTGTATGTGACAAATACAATTTGATTTGATTTGTTCAGCCGACTCTGGGGAAGTAGATAAATGGCTTCATTGTCTCGAACTATCCCTTTAACATGGAGGAAATTACAGTCATTGGAGCTAATTACAGGGGGTTTTCTGCATAGAAGTGGTCATTTCCGGGATGGAAAAACAGTTAAACGACCAAAACCAGATTGAAAGCATGCAGAAAAGATATTGAACTATATATATTTTTTTAAAATAATACCATCTTTGAGAACTAACAATCAAATAAAAGCTAGATAGTAGTACATGCCCATTGATTTTGTTATGTTTGAGCAGAGGATCACATCATTAGCCATGACAAAATGCATAGAACTGCAAAAATGATCTCTCAGCTCAATAGAAAAAATTGAAGAATTGCAGAAAATTTGCTTTACAATAGCAACATTTTCTCTGCTCCGCCAATATACAGTTGGAGTCGGAAGTTTACATACACCTTTGCCAAATACATTTAAACTCAGTTTTTCACATTTAATCCTAGTAAAAATTCCCTGTCTTAGGTCAGTTAGGATCACAACTTTATTTTAAGAATGTGAAATGTCAGAATAATAGTAGAGAGAATGATTTATTTCAGCTTTTATTTCTTTCATCACATTCCCAGTGGGTCAGAAGTTTACATACACTCAATTAGTATTTGGTAGCATTGCCTTTAAATTGTTTAACTTGGGTCAAACGTTTCGGGTAGCCTTCCACATGCTTCCCACAATAAGTTGGGTGAATTTTGGCCCATTCCTCCTGACAGAGCTGGTGTAACTGAGTCAGGTTTGTAGGCCTCCTTGCTCACACCCGCTTTTTCAGTTCTGCCCAAAAATTTTCTATAGGATTGAGGTCAGGGCTTTGTGATGTCCTTAAGCCATTTTGCCACAACTTTGGAAGTATGCTTGGGGTCATTGTCCATTTGGAAGTGCCATTTGCGACCAAGCTTTAACTTCCTGACTGATGTCTTGAGATGTTGCTTCAATATATCCACATAATTGTCCTTCCTCATGATGCCATCTATTTTGTGAAGTGCACCGGTCCCTCTTGCAGCGAAGCACCCCCACAGCATGATGCTGCCACCCCCGTACTTCAGATTGGGATGGTGTTCTTCGGCTTGCAAGCCTTCCCCTTTTTCCTCCAAACATAACGATGGTCATTATGGCCAAACAGTTCTATGTTTGTTTCATCAGACCAGAGGACATTTCTCCAGAAAGTACGATCTTTGTCCCCATGTGCAGTTGCAAACCGTAGTCTTGGTTTTTTATGGCGGTTTTGGAGCAGTGGCTTCTTCCTTGCTGAGCGGCCTTTCAGGTTATGTCAATATAGGACTCATTTTACTGCGGATATAGATACTTTTGTACCTGTTTCCTCCAGCATCTTCACAAGGTCCTTTGCTGTTGTTCTGGGATTGATTTGCACTTTTCGCACCAAAGTACGTTCACCTCTAGGAGACAGAACACGTCTCCTTCCTGAGAGGTATGACGGCTGCGTGGTCCCATGGTGTTTTTACTTGCGTACTCTTGTCTGTAGAGATGAACGTGGTACCTTCAGGCATTTGGAAATTGCTCCCAAGGATGAACCACACTTGTGGAGGTCTACAATATTTGTTCTGAGGTCTTAGCTGATTTATTTAGATTTTCCCATGATTTCAAGCAAAGAGGCACTGCGTTTGAAGTTAGGCCTTGAAATACATCCACAGGTACACCTCCAATTGACTAAAATGATGTCAATTAGCCTATCAGAAGCTTCTAAAGCCATGACATCGTTTTCTGGAATTTTCCAAATTGTTTAAAGGCACATTCAACTTAATGTATGTAAACTTCTGACCCACTGGAATTATGATACAGTGAGTTATAAGTGAAAAAATCTGTCTGTTAACAATTGTTGGAAAAATTACTTGTGTCATGCACAAAGTAGATGTCCTAACCGACTTGCCAAAACTATAGTTTGTTAACAAGAAATTTGTGGAGTGGTTGAAATTGGTGCATTCACCTTATGATAGCCAGTGGGACAACCACTTTACAATATTTTTATTTTTTTTTGGGATAGGGTAAGGGGGGGGAGAAGGATTACTTTATCCTATCCCAGGTATTCCTTAAAGAGGTGGGGTTTCAAGTGTCTCCGGACTCCGCTGTCCTGGCGTCGTGAGGGAGCTTGTTCCACCATTGGGGTGCCAGAGTGAGGACTAATATCCGTTGCTCGTGTTTCTTGGCCCAAGCAAGTCTCTTCTTATTATTGGTGTCCTTTAGTAGTGGTTTCTTTGCAGCAATTTTTATATGAAGGCCTGATTCACACAGTCTCCTCTGAACAGTTGATGTTGAGATGTGTCTGTTACTTGAACTCTGTGAAGCATTTATTTGGGCTGCAATTTCTGAGGCTGGTAACTCTAATGAACTTATCCTCTGCAGCAGAGGTAACTCTGGGTCTTCCATTCCTGTGGCGGTCCTCATGAGAGCCAGTTTCATCATAGTGCTTGATGGTTTTTGCGACTGCACATGAAGAAACTTTCAAAGTTCTTGAAATGTTCCGTATTGACTGACTTTCATGTCTTAAAGTAATTATGGACTGTCATTTCTCTTTGCTTATTTGAGCTGTTCTTGCCATAATATGGACTTGGTCGATTACCAAATAGGGCTATCTTCTGTATACCTCCCTACCTTGTCACAACACAACTGATTGGCTCAAATGCATTAAGAAGGAAAGGAATTCCACAAATTAACTTTTAAGAAGGCACACCTGTTAATTGAAATGCATACCAGGTAACTATCTCATGAAGCTGGTTGAGATAATGCCAAGAGTGTGCAAAGCTGTCATCAAGGCAAAGGGTTGCTACCTCAAATATAAAAGATATTTAGATTTGTTTCAAATTTTTTGGATACTACATGATTCCATATTTGTGATTTCATAGTTTTGATGTCTTCACTATAATTCTACAATGTAGAAAATAGTAAAAATAAAGAAAAACCCAGGAATGAGTAGGTGTGTCCAAACTTTTGACTGGTACTGTACATCAATGGCATACACCCAAATACTGTTGGAACAAGTAAAGGCTGCCTCACCTTTTCAGGTTGAATTTGCTGCTACTTTAACAACTGGCCTTTTATATGCTAAATATCTGAGCTGAACTACAAGCCCACTTACAGACTAGATTTGATCCAGTTGGTTCCAGTTCCAGTTAGATTATGTAAACCATTTCATTTCATATACTGACTACAATACACTGGTGCAGTTACAGTACTCATAACATGTGGTTACACTATCTACTGTCTGTGTTAGGGTTGCATTCTTGTCAGGTCTTTCAACAGAGATTTGTTAGCTCAAGTGGCTTATGTTAAATAAGGATTACAATAAAAACAATTTTTTAAACGTAATAAAGAACAAATGTCAGAATATGTCCATAGTTGCTGCCCACCTGACTAAAAGAGAAAGGGTTGGGCAGGTATAATTATTAGTAAACAGAAACATATCCTGCATAGCAGGAGCTCGGAGTGACAGTTCCAGCTACCTGTCTTTGAGCCCATGTACACATTAAGCCAGGGTGTACTCCATAGACAGCAGCTCTGTACAGTATAATACCAAACCCTTCTTCACGACAGCTTTCTGCTCAGGTCAATAGATTCAGTATCAAGGCATCTGCTTATGGATAAGGACCTTGTAGTGCACAGAGCAAGACCGGAGTAGAGAGGAATCTCCTAACATACAGTGCATTCTGAAAATATTCAGTTACGTTACAGCCTTATTCTAAAATGGATTAAATACATGTTTTGCCACATCAATCTATACACAATACCCCATAAAAAGGTCGAAGGATTTGTCCGTAGAGCTCCGAGACAGGATTGTGTCTAGGCACAGATCTGGGGAAGGGTACCATAAAATGTCTGCAGCATTGAAGGTCCCCAAGAACACAGTGGCCTCCATCATTCTTAAATGGAAGATGTTTGGAACCACCAAGACTCTTCCTAGAGCTGGCCGCCTGGCCAAACTAAGCAATCGGGGGAGAAGGGCCTTGGTAATGGAGGTGACCAAGAACCCGATGGTCACTCTGACAGAGCTCCAGAGTTCATCTGTGGAGATGGGAGAAACTTCCAGAAGGACAACCATCTCTGCAGCACTCCACCAATCAGCCCCTATGGTAGAGTGGCCAGACGGAAGCCACTCCTCAGTAAAAGGCACATGACAGACCACTTGGAGTTTCTCAAAAGGCACCTAATGACTCTCAGACCATAAGAAACTAGATTCTCTGGTCTGATGAAACCAAGATTGAACTCTTTGGCCTGAATGCCAAGTGTCACATCTGGAGGAAACCTGGCACCATCCCTACAGTGAAGCATGGTGGTGGCAGTGTCATGCAGTGGGGATGTTTTTCAGTGGCAGGGACTGGGAGACTAGTCAGGATCGAGGGAAAAGATGAACAGAGCAAAGTACAGAGAGATCCTTGATGAAAACCTGCTCCAGAGCGCTCAGGACCACAGAATGGGGCGAAGGTTCACCTTCCAACAGGACAACGTCCCTAAGCACACAGCCAAGACAACGCAGGAGTCTCTGAATGTCCTTGAGTGGCCCAGCCAGAGCCCGGACTTGAACTCGATCGAACATCTCTGGAAAGACCTGTAAAAAGCTGTGCAGCGATGCTCCCCATCCAACATGACAGAGCTTGAGAGGATCCGCAGAGAAGAATGTGAGAAACTCCCCAAATACAGATGTGCCAAGCATGTAGCTTCATATCCAAGAAGACTCAAGGCTGTAATCGCTGCCAAAGGTGCTTCACCAAAGTACTGAGTAAAGGGTCTGAAGACATTTATATTTTACATTTTAGTAATTTATTAGACGCTCTTATCCAGAGCGACTTACAGTTAGTGCATTCATCTTAAGATAGCTAGTTGGGACAACCACATATCACAGGCATAGAAAATACATTTTTCCTCAATAACATAGCTGTCAATAGAGTCAGAGCTAGAATCTATTTTTGCTTTGTCATTATGGGGTATTGTGTGTAGATTGATTAGGAAAAAACACTATTTAATCAATTGTAGAACAAGGCTGTAACGTAACAAAATGTGGAAAAAGTCAAGGGGTCTGAATACTTTCCGAATGCACTGTAAATCTGCTTATGAAGATTTCACCATTCCATTTAAAGTAGCCTAATGAATAATGACATTTACATATCTTAATAATTCCCACCAGGTGTACATTTGCAGATGTAATCAAGACATTTGTGATGTACAACTAATGAATATTACCATTTATGAAATAGGTTCATAGACATTATATTCAGCAGGGTCTTGGTATAACATTGAGCTGGGTTTCAAGTTATAATAATCCAAATTATTTACTGTAAATTATTAATTAATATGTACAAATCTACATAAATGGAAAAATGTATCATTAGATACTTGTTCAAAACAGTTCAATCTACTGAAGCCCCCAATACAAATGCCTCTGATTTAAATGATAATGCCCTCACACCAGGCAGTAGTAGTAGTAAGAGAACGAAGTGCAACTTATTGTATTATTCAGAACTTCCTACTAACTACAGAACACCACTACTTTAATTTATGTTTCCATGTTTCGGAAAAAGAAATCCCTTTGGGGTTAGGGCAACAATGAGAACCACAGCACAAGAGTAACATCACAACATCAACAATAAATAGAGTAAATAAATAAATACATGATATATATATATATATATATATATATTTAAATAAACAAATAAATGGGCAGAGAGGAGATGGGTAAACTGCATACAAGAGCATCACACAACCCAATCAATTTTGCTTTTTGAAGCAGGGGGTGTTAGAAAGTGACCAAGGGATGGCTAGACAGAAAAAAACAGCCCTTGGTCTCTAGAGTCTGTTGCGTCTGGAATCGTAGAAGGGATCTGGGAAGGGATCTGGTGGGTCACAGTGGGATCAGGGGGGGTCGTCCATGGGCAGGACCAGACATGTTCCCCTGATGACCAGTTCATGCTCCCCAAATGCCACCTCCTGGTCCAAGGCCTTTTCGGAGGTCACCCCCCTTGTGGAGGCAGACAGGCATTTGTGGTTGGTGGTGCAGGTGCTTGAGACATCGGTACTCATTGTGACGTCACAATACATGGTTGAGCAAGTACCTAATGAATGTCATTCAGTTCATCAGAGTCATCATTGTGCAGGTGTCCTTCATTCTGGAGAGAGAAGGAATCAAGAACCACTACATTACCAGTGTGTGTGTGTGGGAGTGTGTTTGCTTGTGAACACTCACCTCATATGCCTGAGGGCTGGTGAGACAGCATGTCAAGGGGCCACAGCAGCCTGGCAGGGTGGCAGTAAGGGGTAGGCCGCTGTGAGTCAGGGGTTTCAGGTAGCTGGAGGAGGCTACACTCAAGGGATCGAATCCTCAAACGCCACATATTCCTTTAGCAATTCAATAGGAGATTACTATACATGCAGTACATTAGTCTTGGCGTTAGGCTCTGCTCCTTCGGGGTAGCTCACTGCCAGAGCATATATCATGTAAGATATAATAATAACAGGCAGCGAACAAGGCATGCTATACCAATCCCCCTGACCAAAACAAAAGCAGAGCCCAAACAGGTGGAGGTTGGGGTGGGGTGGTGGGAAAGCAGAAAATAGACATGCATGGCGAGTAACGTTTGTTACAGCATCAGAATGTCACAGAGAACACCAGCTATCAGAGAATGTGTGCGCAACCTGGTCGGCTAAATAGTATTCATATATATATTAACCATGTTAAAGGTAGTGTGATTCATCTAATTGATGTGATGCTATCAGCTAATGCAACACTCGGGTTTCCTGCATGAACCTGCTGCGCTTGATTTATAGTAGTCTGAGCACAATCATCATCAATAAAGGAATAACCTCTATAAAGGCATTTAGTGCCACGTCATATTTTCATTAATTGTGTATCACATCAACTGACTCTCCTTTACATTGCAAAGGAAATTCAAAGAGTGCCCTCTAGCGTATCATGTTTAACGTTGCATCTGCACTGCACTATACTGTACATATAATCACCATTGACCAGTGTTTCCTGAATGGTGGGTCCAGGTTGAAGACTGGGTTGTTATGGCTAGAACTGTTGTGTTTATCTAATGAAAAGAAACAATTGAACACCATATTAGGCCAGGCATTGTCTAACAAAAACCGACAGCGTGGTTTTAGACCAGTAGACGGGTATGTGTTCCAGTACCTGTTTGGTCCAGTCCTGGGAGTCAGGAGAAAGGTTGTTGAAGGTGTAGTGAGCCTGAGTCATCCGACAGAACAACACAGCCACCACACCTGCATGCACACACAGATCAGCATGTGATAGACTCACCTTTGAAAGGTAGGCTGAAACCGTGTGTGTACATATGTGTACCAGTGGAGGCTCCTCCGAGGAGGAAGAGGAGGACCATCCTCCTCAGTGAATTTCATAGAAATAGTGAAACGTTAAAAAAGTTATCATTTTTAGATAAAACTATACTAAATAAAACACATTGTTTTGCAATGAAGGTCTACAGTAGCCTCAACAGCACTCCGTAGGGTAGCACCATGGTGTAGCTGGAGGACAGCTAGTTTCCGTCCTCCTCTGGGTACATTGACTTCAATACAAAACCTAGGAGGCTCGTTGTTCTCACCCCCTTCTATAGATTTACACAGTAATTATGACAACTTCCGGAGGATGTCCTTCAACCTATCAGAGCTCTTGAAGCATGAACTGACATGTTGTCCACCCAATCAAAGGATCAGAGAATTAATCTAGTACTGAAAGCATAAGCTACAGCTAGCTAGCACTGCAGTGCATAAAATGTGGTGAGTAGTTGACTCAAAGAGAGAGAACGGCAATAGTTGAACAGTTTTGAAGAAATTAATTTCTTCAAAAATGAATGAGAAGCACACACAGAGAGAGAGAGAGAGAGAGAGAGAGAGAGAGAGAGAGAGAGAGAGAGCTAGATTTCTTAGTATTCTTTTTTTTTAACTTTCACTTTCACTTACTTAGCAAGCAAATGCAGCAACCTAGTTTAGCCTACTCAAACAGAGAGTGATGCTATGTTAGCTAGCTGGCTGTGGCTATCCAACACTGGAACTCTTCCAAGTCAAGGTAAGCTTTTGGATTTATTAATTTATTGCCACCGGGGCCCGCCGGTGTAACTGCTAAACTGCTTGCTGCTGACTGTACTGCATGATTGTAGCGGGTTTACTAACGCGTTAGTTCTAGTAGCTATGTTGACTATGATGTTAATATGGTGACAACGATGTAGACTGTGTGTAGTGGTTAGCGGTAATGATATGAAGGTTTGGCTTGGAAAGGTTTTTTACCTGGTCACAGCTGATGTGTTGTGCACTGAGGTCCACAAGCAAAGAAGGAATTATACAACATCACAATGTCAACAATCAAAGGGATCCTGCTGTTTGTATGTGGCTGCTATGAAAGTGAACTGTGTTTGCGTGTGATCAGTGGTGTATTCATTAGGGCTGGCCCCATTTAGTCAACTAGTCGATTGTTTGGTCGATAGGCTGTTGGTCAACCGAGATTTCTTTAGTCGAGCAATAGCAATTATTAGAATTTTTTATGGTGCACAAGACACCTGTCTGATTGGCTCCTGTCTCAGTGGACTAATCCATTGCGGAGGCCAAGGGGATGGCACAGTCAATCACTCTAATACATGTGATACTGAAATTGTATATGGTTATATTATGTAAAAATAATGCTGCATCACTAATAAATATAATATTATTTTATAACAAATGCGCTTTCTCCCGCGTTGGATATGGTCGCTGTCCGTGGTTCTGAAACATAATCTTCAATGCGCCGTATAATTGGTGCCTTTCCCTTTGTAGCTATGTAGCAGAGATGAGGCAACAGCCCTTGCCTTAAACCCTATTCAGACGGGATTAGTTTTACTGGGGGTGGTCGGGTAATGTAATTATGTGCACAAGCACAAAACAACATATCTGTAAATTTCATCCTGTCCGAATCTGTCATGTCAGTAATTTGTACATGGTAGGAGAGTAACAATTCCAGCCAGAATAACCTAGAGTTAACACCCCTGTGTTTTGAGAAAAATGTCTGAGTTTGACAGGTGTTGCTTACGGGTTGAGCAAGAAAATAATAACTGATTGGATAAATGGAATGAAGTGCTGCGCATAGCCTATACAGTTCAAGTCAGAAGTTTACATACACTTAGGCTGGAGTCATTAAAACTCGTTTTTCAACCACTCCACAAATTCCTTGTTAACAAACTATAGTTTTGGCAAGTCAGTTAGGACATCTACTTTGTGCATGACACAAGTAATTTTTCCAACAATTGTTTACAGACAGATTAATTCACTTATAATTCACTGTATCACAATTCCAGTGGGTCAGAAGTTTACATACACTAAGTTGACTGTGCCTTTAAACAGCTTGGAAAATTCCAGAAAACGATGTCATGGCTTTAGAAGCTTCTGATTGACATCATTTGAGTCAATTGGAGGTGTACCTGTGGATGTATTTCAAGGCCTACCTTCAAACTCAGTGCCTCTTTGCTTGACAACATGGGAAAATCCAAAGAAATAAGCCAAGACCTCAGAACAAAAATTGTAGACCTCCACAAGTCTGGTTCATCCTTGGGAGCGATTTCCAAACGCCTGAAGGTACCACGTTCATCTGTACAAACAATAGTACACAAGTATAAACACCATGGGACCACGCAGCCGTCATAACGCTCAGGAAGGAGACGCGTTCTGTCTCCTAGAGATGAACGTACTTTGTTGCGAAAAGTGCAAATCAATCGCAGAACAACAGCAAAGGACCTTGTGAAGATGCTGGAGGAAACAGGTAAAAAAGTATCTATATCCACAGTAAAACGAGTCCTATATTGACATAACCTGAAAGGCCGCTCAGCAAGGAAGAAGCCACTGCTCCAAAACCACCATAAAAAAGCCAGACTACGGTTTGCAACTGCACATGGGGACAAAGATCTTACTTTTTGGAGAAATGTCCTCTGGTCTGATGAAACAAAAATAGAACTGTTTGGCCATAATGACTGTTATGATGAGTTTCTAGGTATCAAGTGATTACGAATGTAAGGATGTACTTAGACACTTTTAATGGGGAGTTCATATAATATATTTAATATGTACCATGGTTAGTTATAACAGAAGGACAGAGCTTTGCCTCTATCATCTCCCTCACTCCAGAACAAAGATCCACTCTCTATATATATACACTGTAACAAGTCTCTCCACGAACATCTGGTAATCATCAAGGGCACTCCCATTCTTTGATGTTATTACTCTTTACCCCAAGTCAGTATATCCTGTCCATCAATCATGCTATCATAAACATCAGTAATCTCCTTTGACATAACGGAATGTAGACTCCGTGGCACCAAGCCAATTATCTAGTAACTCTAACCTGGTCCCCACGATACTATGACATGACATCATAACACTATAAAAACCTCATATCAATGACCATCGTTATGTTTGGAGGAAAAAGGGGGTACCTTGCAAGCCCAAGAACACCATCCCTACCGTGAAGCACAGGGGTGGCAGCATCAGGCTGTGGGGGTGCTTTGCTGCAGGAGGGACTGTTGCACTTCACAAAATAGATGGCATCATGAGGAAGGAAAATTATGTGGATATATTGAAGCAACATCTCAAGACATCAGTCAGGAAGTTAAAGCTTGGTCGCAAATGGGTCTTCCAAATGGACAATGACCCCAAGCATACTTCCAAAGTTGTGGCAAAATGGCTTAAGGACAACAAAGTCAATGTATTGGAGTGGCCATCACAAAGCCCTGACCTCAATCCTATAGAAAATGTGTGGGCAGAACTGAAAAAGCGTGTGCGAGCAAGGAGGCCTACAAACCTGACTCAGTTACACCAGCTCTGTCAGGAGGAATGGGCCGAAATTCACCCAACTTATTGTGGGAAGCTTGTGGAAGGCTACCCGAAACGTTTGACCCAAGTTAAACAATTTAAAGGCAATGCTACCAAATACTAATTGAGTGTATGTAAACTTCTGACCCACTGGGAATGTGATGAAAGAAATAAAAGCTGAAATAAATCATTCTCTCTACTATTATTCTGACATTTCACATTCTTCAAATAAAGTGGTGATCCTAACTGAC